ACGCGACCTGAACTGGATCGCGTACCCGCGTTCGATAGTCTGCAGGACCCAACGAGATATATTTGGAAGACTTCCCCATTCTACCAGAAATTCTACTAAGGGTACCAGTCTCTCGAGACTGGTCTCTGGAGTAGTTTTTAAAAACAGAAACAGCGCCCTGTGACCGCGCACAGGCAGGGTTTAACGACCGTTCTGTATCGCTCCTCGGAGCAAACGAGCGTCCCTCGGGAAATCGCTCGCTGGGACCGTCTGCACCCCCCATTACAGGCAGGGTTGGCAGAACGAACCCCTGAGGGCACCGAGAGAGAGCGGGCGCCGGATTCAGCGGCGAACACCTCTGTCTCACGGTGGGGACCACCCTCAGTAGCCTGACACCAGTGGCGTCAGGACTTCTTCGACGAAGCCTTCCTGGCGACAATAACCGTCCTCAGATCGGTTCTATCCCGGGAAGACCTCGCCTGAGAACGCCGCGTCTCAGCCCAGTTTTGCTGGGGAGGAGCCCGAGACGCGACGCTCTCTCGACGGGCGGGGCTGCTCTCGCCCAGCAGCCCCCGAAGGATGAGTACGGAGGGGGAGACATTTCTGGAGCGCCGCTGCCTGTTTTTTTCGGTCGACAGCGGCGCATCCAGGAGAAACGCTTTATCTTTCTCCTTCATATTAGCCACAGATGCCTCTCCGTGGCCACCAGGGCTGCCATAGAGCGGCCGACTGATCTGGCCGTCTCCTTGGTGGCACGGAGAGAAATATCTGCCGCCTGACGCAGTATCTCATTAATCACGTCAGTGCCGACGACCTCCCCCTCACTCATATCTCCTAGACCCAGCAATATTAGCATACATAGAGGTCTGGTGTGTCAAAATTCTAGCTGACACTGGTTTGTTCCACGATCTACACACCTCGGTGTGTAGATCGAGGAAAAAGGGCAAACACCGGCATGGAGGTAGTGAGTGTGATATTAAAAATCTCTCATCCATTTTACTCTCTCGACTCTTGTTTCTCAACTGGCCATTCAATGGTTAATTTTTCCACAGCCCGAGTCAAAAACCTCCATTTTTTTTTTTTTTTTTCCTTTTATTTATTTATTTATTTATTTTTACTACATTCGCGGGAGACTGGGATGGCAAACGAGCTTCCCTCGCTCTCCACTGAGTCCATAGACTCTGCATCCACACTTTCAACATCCAGCTCCTCAGAACTGGATAATTGAAGTGATGGCGCCTCAGCCCGGGCAGGAGAAACCGCAACGCGGACCCCCGCAGCGAGAACTGAGGCACTATACTCTACCAGGTAAGGGCAGAGAAAGGGCGGGGCCCGTCTCAATCCCCGCTGATAGATCCATCTGCGATCCCCACGACGCAAGCCTTCGCTGTGCCTCGGCAGCAGCGGGACCCGAGCCGCGGGGAGCGCGCACCGAACCACTCTCCTCGAAGAGTGCCCGGCGGGAGCGGAGTGTCTTCATGGGCAGACACTCGCAGTGCTCACAGCCGGCCCCCTCGAGAGCCGACTGAGCATGCTGCACTCCCAAACAAACAACACACAGATCGTGTGTATCCCCACCCGTGATGAAGCGAGGGCAGGGATGAACACACTTTCTGAAATTCTGCTGTTGTTTGCTCGCCATATCAATATATATAAATATACAATATAGACAGACAGACAAAATTCATACATAGAGCGCTTGTGAAGACTCAGAAGCTGTTGCGCTTGTGTTTCGGGGATGCTTTATAGTTTCCTGGTCGATACGTCACCCCGCCTATGACGTTCCGTCTCGCCATTGGACAGATTTCATACGTGCTTCATGACTCGTCACGCAGAGGCGTTCCCACGGCGTTTACACGCAGCTCGAAGTTCCCTGAATGGGAACAAAGACACCTACATCTTGGATGCCCTTGAGTATACCAAAAATGAATTTCAAAGTGAACTATCCCTTTAATGTAGCTTCCCCAGCACTGGTCCGGCATGATAAATGATGACTTGATGACTAAGATAGTGAGCTGATGCAGAAGGAATGCAGGCATCAGACTGTGGGAGATAAACTCCTCTCAGGTGAAGTTGAGATCTGGACTTGACACCACACTTTTAGGGAAATGGAAACATTTTAACAGAGTCTGGTAGACCATGAGGAACATGAATCTCCAGTCCTCGGTGTGGTTTCCCCAACATTTCTTGGCAGCCGAACGCAAACAGGAGAGTTGTCTCCGGGGCTCTCACGTGCTTTCTTCCAAAAAGGCTTGAGCTTATCTGGAAGAGCAGCCCTATATCTAATATAATCAAAACAGGCTGTGATTTAATTGATGTGTACAGCCATTTATGTGTGCTTATAATGCAGTGTTTTCAAAGCGACTGAAGTTTGGGAACCCTTGATTTGCAAAATCAATGCAATGACCCAACAGGAGCTAAAGAATGACCCAACCAAGAATGGAAAATGCCTTCCAGAAACACTATAGACAGCTGATATAATGTGAATGGTGACCAGAATCATCAGGTCTGAGGATCACATATCCATACGCTTTCCTCAGATCAGCATCCCGAACGGTCTCTGCAACGATTCTTTGATATTTGAGAGTACTCTGATATCCAACTCTCCATCCCAAATGGCTTGGCGTCACCTATCCCTGACAAACTTCAAAAGCTTTCTTTTCTAAACCCTACGGCACCCAATGCATCAAAATCCTTTTAAAATAATTATGACAGCCCTTAGCCAATGAAAAACATCCTGGAACTCGCCCTCCAACCTTACACGTGGGTTTAGGAGCTTTATCTACTCAGTTTTGAAGGTTCGGTTGGCAGTGAATGGTGGTTAGTAAAATGCGACTGACCCTCTGGGCTTGATCTCATCTTTTAAACACTTTGCATTTAAGGTTTTCCAGACACAAAGGCTCCATAACGTGGTGTTGGTTGTATTGTAATGACACACGGATGAATACCAGGAAGAGGAATGCGAGTTAGCTCAATGATAATGTCAACTACAGAATGTGGGTCCAGGAAAGGGAAGAGTTGTGTTTGCGTCTGGTATAGTCATGTGGTCTTACACACGTAGAACAGGAGCATTGTTTGGACCGAGGTTTAAGGGTGAATAAGAGGAAGGCAAGCTGGAAGTCTTTGTTTCCTTCAAGTCAGTGTCACAAAGTCATCAGTTTATGAATATATAATCATATAATCAAGCAAATTACAGAGTGCTGATGCAGAAAACAAACATCTCTCAATTAAAATGAGAGAATATGAATCCTTCGGGTGGAAAAGTGATTGATTTTATGTCCAGTTTCTTGTGTGTGTGTTGTGGAGGAGGGGGTGTGCCATAACCAAAGATGTCAATAACCAAAAATCATGCCATTGTGGAGACATTTTTGGGTCCCCATGAGTAAAAAGGCTTATAGATCATACTAAATTATGTTTTTGTTAAAAATGTTAATAAAAAAAAAATGCAGAAAGGCATCTTAGATGTAGGGTTAGTGTAAGGGGATATACAATATAATTATACAAATATTGATGGTTTAACTTAAAAAAGTAAGTAACCTGGTTGCCTTAAAATTTTAAGGTCATTGAACTGGAAAAAGTGAGTTAATACAATGAAGGAAAATGATTTAATCATCAGAAACTCAAAATGATATGTTATCTGAACTAAATAAATTATTTAAGTTGATTTGACAAAAGAAAAAATGTTGTTATTACTACACTGTAAAAAAATATTGTTGGTTTAACTTAAAAAAGTAAGTAACGTGGGTTGCCTTAAAATTTTCAGTTGATTCATTGAACTGGAAAAAGTGAGTTAATCCAATGACGGAGATTAATTTAATCATCAGAAACTCAAAATAATAAGTTATCTCAACTAAATAAATTATTATAAAGTTGATTTGACAAAAGATAATATGTTGGGATAACAAATCTTGAAAATAAAATCATTATGTCTATGGAAAGTCCCCATAAAACATTAAAAAAACCATGCATGTGTGATCTAAATAAATAAATAAAATAAAAAAACTATTTACAAGTATTTTTACATTTCTTAAAATTATTATTATTCATTAGATTTCTAAACAAGAGACTCTACTGGTCAATGCTGATCATCTCAAAAAGCTCAAATATCAATGAGCCAGCCCAATATATTGGTTAATCACTACTCATAACACGTCAGGGTCCAAATTATGCTCTGTACAACAAAACACATTTTCTCAAAATAATCCAAACCCAACTGGGGTGCTGAACCAACAACGCATTACTAATGATTCAGAACTAACAGTTTCGTTTCAACACAAAGAGACACACTGCCCTGTACAGCTCCACAACCAATAGGGCCATACAAACAAATAAATAAATAAGCACTACAAAAAGCTGAAATAGGATGCAAGTCATTATTATAACATATGTAACGTTTCATTCCGCGTCTTGTCCACAAGATAGAGATGAGAGCACAATAAGCGGCTGACAGGTTGACAGACAGCCTCGCCTCGCCCATCCCGGCGAATGGAAAGATCTCCATTATTCCCACTCATGCACTTCACTCAGAAGATAAATAATTAGGGAGGCTGCAACTATTTGGGGTTTGGCATGATCATCTGGCCATGCTTTCTAACTGGCAAATCACAAGCGCTGTAGTGAAGACTCCCTGAACTGAGCAAACAGTGCAGAATCCCTTGCACAACTCTCTGGAGGTCAAAGCATGAACTGCAACCTAGTGTAAAATCCGAGCAAGCTACAGATGCCAACAAATTAAAAATGCATCATTTTAGGGTCCAAAATGTATCAAAGTATACATTATTAAAATGCAACTACCCAACAAAATGAATTAAGAGGTTTAAAAACGATTTATCAAACAAAAGCCCCCAGAAATAGAAAACAAGAGATCCAGGATCCATCGCAGACGCATTTAATCCACGCATCCCATTCTGTGCAACCCATCCGCATAGAGTTAGAACGCCAGCTTAATTGTTTGAATTGCGATGCAGTAACAGCGTACTGAAAGAAAGCAGTATTTTAAAGTCAGGTTTGATTTCTCTTACCAGTCGGTTGCCGACGTCTCGTTGATAACGTCCTGGTAGGCTGTTAAGAGGGCCAGTCTGTTCTTGCTGAGATTCACAGCCATGTTTCTGCCACTGCAATCATCCAGCCCAGTGTAGCAGTGATGATGAGGAGCGAGAGAGACACTGCGGACGGAGCGCGAGAGGAGGAGGAGGAGGAGGAGGGATGGTGCACGCCGAACAAAGAGACGCTCCTCCCGCGCTGCGCGGTCCTAGTGCCTCTCCGTGAACTGCGTTATTGAGTTCAAAACAGCTACAATGCAACATTGTAAAAAAAAAAAAAAAAACTGTTTAACTGGACATTTTAAAAACGCGATGCTCGTGGAAGAGACACAACAAAGAGCAATTTCATCTGTTGCATGTGTGCATAGGCCTTTAGAAACAGTGAATAGGCTATATCCAACCATTCTCATCATCCAACGCACATGGCACCCTTTAGCGTCAATATAACATGCACAGAGCTTTGTTCGGTTATGTTAGGTTTAGTTCTGGGGTAGGTTTAGGGTTAGACCACTAGGAGGCGCCTTCTGGCCCATATATATCTGCGTCTCATATTGACGCCAAAGGGTACGGAGGCGTATTGCATTCACTTGAAGAAAAAAAATCTACTCTGTTTTTCTGAATTAATAAGTCAATTTTTCATGAGAAAAAAAATTGCTCTGTTTTTCTGAATTAATGAGTTAATTTTTCATGGAATTTTTTTTTTGAGCAAAAACTTTTTTTCTCACGAAAAATTAAGTCATTAATTCAGAAAAACAGAGCAAAAAAAAATTTCTCACGAAAAATTAACTCATTAATTCAGAAAAACAGAGCAAAAAAATTTTTCTCATGAAAAAAATGATTCATTTTCTCATGAAAAATTAACTCAGTAATTCAGAAAAACAGAGCAAAAACTTTTTTCTCATGAAAAATTAACTCGTTAATTCAGAAAAACAGAGTAGATTTTTTTTAATGCAAAACGCCTCCGTAAAAGGGGCACCCTTTTGTGCGTCGGATGTAGACGAAATGTCAAAAGTGTCACGGATATCATGGAATCATTTTGTGTAGCCTATACCCTGAAAATAAACTGCATTCACTTTGTCAGATTTAGTCAAATAAGGTACAAGCTGTAGCCTCCTTTTTATAGCTAAGAATAAAAAGATTCTAAAGTGTTCTATATAATAGCCTAATTGTGTATGATCAAAAGTATGTGGTCAGATTAGAAATAATCATTTGTATTGTAAATTGATCAAAAGTGACAGTAAAGATATTTATAAGGTAACACAAGATGTCGATTTTAAATAAATGCTGACTCATGAATCTTAAAATATCACGGTTTCCAAAAATATATATATATATTAAGAGTTATGATAAGAATAAATGTTTTTTGAACAGCAAATCAGCATATTAGAATGATTTCTGAAGGATCATGTGACACTGAAGACTGGAGTAAAAGTTCAGCTTTGCATCACAGGAATAAATGACACTTTAAAATATGTTAAGAAATATACATATAAAGTGTTTGATACCCTGCCGATTTCGCAGGTTTTCCCACTTTGAAAGCATGTAGAAGTCTGTCATTTTTATCATAGGTAGGCTACTGTTCATCTGTGAGTGACAGACTCTAAAACAAATCCAGAAAATCACATTGTACGATTTTTAAGCAATTAATTTGCATTTTATTTATTTCAGAATCACGCAATAATTTGTCATGGAAAAAAGTTTTTGCTCTGTTTTTCTGAATTAATTAAGTGATTTTCTCAAAAATTAGGAGTAACTCATTAATTCATAAAAACAAGAAAATTTTCTTGGCTTTTTTTTTCAAGAAAATATGTCTCATAATTCTGAGAAAAAATGTACTTGTTAATTCAGAAAAACAGATTAAAAACCTTTTTTTTTCCATGAAAAATTATCTCGTTATTCTGAGATAATTAATTCGTTTATTCCGAAAAACAGAGTCGATTTTTTTCCTTCAAGTGAATGCGATACGCTTCCGTAGATACAGGACTGTCAAAAACCTTTAAAAAAATTAAAAGATGTAAGAAAAAAAGTAAATATAATAATAAGCAAAAAAAAAAAAAACATAGTGCCTTTCCATTTCTCAAGGACGCTTAATATAACTTCATATAATGCATACAGTTAAATCAGAGAAGCTGTGAAATCTTTATCAAAGTCATTTAAAATATATAAAAAGTGACAAACAGCATTAGAGCAAAGCACAGTATAAATCATAAAGCCACAGTCAGTGTCCCTCTTATTTCAGAGGTCTTAGTATTAATATTTCCCTTTATGATATGTGGCATGAGGGATCTTTCCAGGATGTATATAGACTACGGCTGTATCTCAAACCATGCTGTGCCGCCTACAGTATTTTCTGGGCTTTTGATCCCAAAATGATTCCAGATGTCTGGATCATAGTAGAAATGCCAAGCTCAAAAACATTGCTCATTAATTTAGCTCGTTGTGATTGAATGTGTTGAACTAGACCAAGTGGACCACACACTTTCAAGTGTCAGCTACATAGTAAGGGCATTTCGGCCTTGTCCTGTTCTTCTGGGCAACAAAGTCAAACGTGAAAGATATCTTGTGTTTGGTGGGAAAATCTCCATCCAGTGCACACTGCACACCTTATCATACAGTATCCTGCACTCCATGGCTTCGGTCCAATCCCATATAATGGCACACGGCCAGGCATGGGTCAGTGTGTGTAATGTATTCACGTATACGGCACAGATTTCATCCATGATACACACACTTCCAGTAGGGTGCTGCTTTCCCGCTGAAAACAATTGCAGCATATCAAATCCCACGACCCAAAAACACACGTTTGCTGTGTGTCGCATATGATGGACACACACACACACACACACACAGTGCTAAGCCCTTCACCCTCCTCACAGCCCAGCCTCCACATTAATGGCCCACACACACATACACCTTCCACTGTAGTCTCGTCCAATCAGGATGTGTGTTTGCCCACCCCTCGGCTGCCCACTAAATGGGTTACCGTTAATTAATTCTTCTCACTCATCTGGTCCTCGGCGTCTCCGACTGCCTACAAAGGTAGCAATTATACTCCGTGATGATGAGGAAGACATCTGTCCGGCAGAGCCTCGGCATCCAGAAGGAGAGCTCTGCCGTTCACAAGTCTCGGATTTAACAGTGTGTTCAACAGCTCATCACACAAACACTTTCTCCTCAGCTTGCTATTAATATCACTTACAAATATACCAATGCTGAAGCTTAGTGCTAAAGCTGCCATGCAACTTTTGAATTTTTTGCACGGAATGAAATCAACGATACTTTTGAATTTTCGAAATCCTATTTAATTTACTGTAAAAAAAAATGCTATTCACTATTAAATGTTTACAAAATATATTCTAAACTACTTAAAGTCGGCATGAAACATCTTTTCTTCCTTATTGTGAACAAATTCTTGAACAAGAATGATGATTTTGGGAATCATCAGGAATTTATTGGCTGGTTGTGGTTTGCGATTGGTCGATCTCATGTGATTGACAGGATGTCCCGCCCTCACACCATTAAACACCAGAGAAATGAAGAAATGTCCTGATCAATTAAGGAATGAGCTGTACAGGCTCCGCCCTCTTCTGGAAAGTAGGGTGGGGAGAAGCAGCTCATTTGCATTTAAAGATACATGCACAAAAACAGCATCTGTGCGCCCCCTATCGCATACTAGAATTACTACGTCCCAAATTATTACGTCCCAAATCGTAGTGTGTTGGAAAGAGTGGCCATTAACTTTTACATGCATCATTATATTCAAATTGCAAACACATGAGGAGACTCTGCATGAAAGAGCCACGAACTGGCAGATCAACGTGCCATACATTTCTCTCCGAAACGGTAGGAAATTAAATTAAAATGAATGTGGAGGATTTTGACTTAGACAAGATGATTGACACAAAAGGTTAAACTGTGAGTGACAGGATGCACGTGACTACACTCTAAAAAATGCTGGGTTGTTTCAACCCAAATTTGGGACAAGTATGGACAAACCCAAATGTTGGGTTAAAAATGTAATAAAAAAAATACATTTGAAAGAGAAAGTTGAAGTTGGGTTAAAATTTTAAATGACAACATTTAGGTTTGCCCATATTTTACCCAAATTTGGGTTAAAACATCCCAGCATATTTTCGAGTGTAAGCAACAGATCTGTCCGTTATGTCCCAAAGCTTACCATACTCTTTTGCAAAACACTCAAAAGTATGCACTTTTTCTTTACAAAAAGAGTACTTATAAGTAGGCGAATTGGGACGCAGCGCATGTTTTTCCTTCCACTCAAAAACGGGCATTTACAACATGGTATAATGAGTGATCTGTGGGGTACTTTGAGCTGAAACTTGAGACTTATATTACATCTTGTAAAAATGGGCGTGATAGGTCCGCTTTAAAGGAATATTTCAAGTAAAAAAATGAAGCGATGAAGTATGGTAACTTTGTCCTCTGCATTTAAAAGTTAGTGCACACACATTAGGAGCAGTGAGTAGAGAACACACACTGCAAACCGTGGACACACACATCCGGCAGCAATTTAGCTGTGGCGCCTGGGGAGCGATTGGGGGTTAGGTGTCTTGCTCAAGGGCATCTCAGTGGTTTCCCGCAGGTGTTGAGTATCTATCATTCTGGACTCTTGCAATGCAAACTCATAGTAGTATAGGCTACTTAAAGTGCAAAAATAATACTAAACCATTCTAAGTACACTTACAAGTGGACGTGGATGTTTTTCCACTAAGAAACGAACATTGTTATTATCTTCTGATTGATACTGTGCAATCAATATTGTGAAAAGCGCTATATAAATATTCTTGACTTGATTGCAGATTGCAATATAAACCTGCAAGTACTGTATCCATGCATGTTCTTTTTAAATTCATGTCGTAATTTTCGATAAAAATATCTTCCCACTCACTCACTTGCAGGGACATCTCTTTTCTTCTTTGATGACGTATGACGCTAGGGCGGTACATCCTGTCACTCACATGAGATCACAGTAATAACAAACCACATCCATCCAATCAATTCCACATGGACAAATCAAATCCCACCCTACATGTTTCCTTGTCCGAGAAACCGCTTACTCTTGATATACGTCACAACCCTCACGTCTTTGTGCATGCAAATACTGTACTTTCATGTTTGCTGTTTAGTTTGGATTTCAAACAATTGAAAGTAAGAATTAGTAATATGTTCGATGGTGGTAAAGGGTTAAAGCAGCACAGCAGCTCTGTGAAAATACAATCCACATACCAGACAAATGAAAGCGAGACCCATGGAGAGCCTTTTAATTTAAAACAAAGAGCCTGACCAGCGGAAAGGGGGGAACCATGCAATTTATTCAGTCCTACAATCTAGTATTTTGTCTTTTCTGAAGTACGTTCTAGATTTTGCCTAGTTTGATTCTAAGGGCTGGTATAAGCCTGAAAATGTGTTAAACTTTATGTTTGGGAGTTTAACATTGGTAAACACGAGATGATATCGCCCCCTGGTGGCCACAGGCTGATGCCACAGAAAGTTACCAGTTAAAAATTACCATATATTGTGTAGTTAGTTAATGCAGTTTGTTGTTACTACCATAAATCCCGCAGTAGACCGTGAATAGGCAAGAAGCCATATTGAATTTTACGGAAATGAAAACAAGGCTGTGAGGGATAGATTTACCGTCTTCACGCGCTGTATAAAAGGTACTAGATCACATCCGTTTTTCAAAGCTCACACTTCCACTTGAAGTTTTTTGGAAATGTGTAAACAATCGAAATGTTTTTGAACAAAAGTAGGCTACAATCCACTGTGTTCGTTCACCCGTCAAAAAATATCTATTTGCCAAATAAAAAAATGAAACGACAAGCTTCTGCCACTTTAAAGATCACAATCGTCAATAGCGAGTTACTCAAGTACAATAATAAATTGTGTGATTTCTTTAAAGCGTAAGAATCTTTCAGCAATTAAAATAACAGCATGCAAGTACATAATTTTTTATTATTATAAATATTCAGTGTTTAAACATGTCTGCGGTGGCCATTTTCCATTAGCATAGCATGCAAAATAAGAAAAAAAATTTATATATATTTTTAACCTGGTGGTATTACAACAGTTTATAGAACATTAAATAGGGATTAGCGTTCTGTTTGGCTGCCTTTCAAATACAGAAATTAAATGAAAGAAAAATACAACCAACAGTATAATCATCATACAAATGTGTTTTACACAAGTAATTAATCATTAGCAAACCGAGTGAAAATTATTAAATATAATTTGTCATCTGTAAACCTGTGAAATACATTGCATCAAGAGGTCGGTCTAGGAGGAGTGAAAAGCAAATTAAGTTATCACAAACAGGCAGTTCTACATCAGTCTCTCTGTAAACACATCAATGATGTCCGTGGTAAACCATTCGATGGTCGCAAATAGTAATTAACTACAATATATGACTGTGTTATTGAAATGCATTTTTAAATGATAAAAGGAAAAGAAAAAAAAAGAACATTTGCATTGGGACCCATACCATTTGCACAATACAGTACATTGTTTCTAAAACATAGGATACGATCCAGCACAGAGCCCATTTCTTAAATAGCAAGGTTCAACAATTACACAAAGAGAAGACTACCTAAGAACAGTAAAGGAGAAAGGTGTAAAACATAAATAATAACTGAGAGTATGACCTACACCCACAACATGACACTGATTTATCATAAAATAAAAACAAACGACCATTTATAAACAAAGGGAAAAAGTACAGTAGCTGACCAAATCTTCTGCACTCTTGTTGAACTCTAGATCCAACAGTAACCAAACCCAGATCGTGTGTCCATGTTTTTCTTAAATACCTGTATTTTTTTTTTCCAAAAGAAATCAAATGCTCCACAAGTCATATTAAATGTCCTTTATTGGCTGGCCACTATCTACAGCATATGTTTCAACTTAAAAAGTACTAAAATATAGAGTAATCAAGTTCAAGGCACCTTATCTTTGGTAAAAACCCATGGCCACCTGCATCAGTCCAGAGTTTAGTAGTGTTTTAAAAGCATCTGCAGAACCGTCTCTTTGATCGTACGTGTTTGCGCGAAAGGCAGAGCAGAGAGGAGTGATAAAGTATGCAAGAGTTCGTAACGCTCCCATGCTAACAGCTAGATGGCTTGGAAAGGAGGGAACTAGAGAGTACTTTGAGAGAGGAAACTGCATCCGACTCTTTGAGATCATCAGTAGGTACACACTGCGAGTAGAGGTCACTGTTTGATTGAGGTTCTAGATTTGCGCTCTCTGGTTCTTTCTTAACGGTCACTGTGCTAACGCTGGTCTTGTCTTCCACTTGAGTCATGTGATAAACACAAGGGGAAGCACCAATACTGTAGGGATTTTCTTCCAATTTGGGCACTAAAGAGAAACAAGTTGCTTCAGGAAGGGTCAAAGCCACATTGGTCCTGTCCTGGGCTAAAGCTCTGGCCCTGCTAGGAGAGCTAAGATCAGCTGGCTCGTCTTGGTTCGAAGGCACCGGAAAGGACCACTTTAGAGATGCTCCGAGATCCTCGGTTTCCACCTTTGGTCTCTTGGTCATGGACTGGACATCCCGACCTTGCAGTTCTGTGAACTCCGTGTCTCCGGCAGACCTCTTGGTAATGGCCCTCTTGCTCAGGTTCAGTGGAAGGGATTGATCTTGAGGCGCACTCCCGTTGGGTTGGGAGGTCTTGCCGAGATCCTGAGCCAGAACTTCAGAAAGTCTCTTGGTGAAGGTGTTCATGTGTGTCGAGCCAAGACGGGTGCGCATCAGTTGACGCAACTGTAGGCTACAGCCGATGTCAAGCGGGAGGATCCTAAGAGGGGGCAGGGGAGCTCTGGTCGAGGCCAGTCCTCCGTTTTGGGACGTGGCATCCAAACTACACCCTGAACACTGGTGCTGGAGACTCTCAGGGGTCTCGACTTTGGGCTGATGGACCATAATTGTCTGGTGGGGCGTAGAAGAATCTACCTCATGAGCACTCACTCCATTGAGGCCGAGACGGGCTCTAAAGAGGTCCAGAGGACACAGTCCTTTAGTGGGACTGAATCCCTCAAGGGAACCCCCTGCCAGCAACTTGCAAGGAACCGACAGAAACGAGGGGGCTTGAGGTTCTGCAGTCTCCGTCTTCACATCTCGTCCCAGTGCGGGTTGGTGGAGCACCATATTAGAGGGCACAAGGGACAAACCTTGGCCATGTTGATGGTTAGCAAGCTTCAGTTCTTGGAAAATAGTCAATGGCTGCCCGATTTCCTGATGGGGTCTTTCTGGTTGCTCTGAGGGAGGTTTGGGATGCAAGGGCGGTCTTCCAACTCTGCCTCTGGCTAGAACTTTAGCGTTGCGTTTTCCGGGTGGTCTTCCTCTTTTCCGTACAACAACGACGCCACCATCTGGCAGGGAGGCCTAAAAAAGTAGTCGGGCATAGAAAGGGTAATCTTAGTTATGCTTAGTTTGAAAACAAGTAAGTACCGGGATGATACGGCAAGCGTTTTTGAGAATGAAGAAATTTGTGACTTCAAACCTTTTGGTGCTTTGTTTGAGGTTGCTGCACAATTATTCAAATCGTTTTTCTCTAGAGTAGTGTGGGATTATGAATATCAGGCAAATGGCATGTATGAACAAAGCATGGTTCTTAAAGAGCCCCTTATCATAGCATTTTTGTTTTAGGAGTTCCCAAAAACAGTTTAACATTATTTGTCTCATAATATGCATTTATTTTTAACTAATTTGCTCACCGACTCCCAAATGATTCGTACAACGACTCATTTTTCCAAACCACTCCTTTCCGTGACGCTAATCGGCGGTGATTGGTCAGATGACAGACCCAGTCAGTTATTGTTTGTTAGCATCACGCATAAACATATTGATGAAGCACTGCAGTACTACAAGACGCTCTATTCTTTATGACAACTCCAATAACAGCGACAAACATTTCACATATTTAAAATAAAAAATGACATTGGAGACCTAGAAGCTGCGCTGAGCGTAACTTAAACAGACACACACACTTATCGCGCCTTCCCTTCTCGCGCCTGACGCTACAAAACCGTTCAAAACCCATAAAAGCAACAATTATTAATAATACTTACAGGCTGTGATTCGAAGGAGGAAGATGATCCATATACACTGGGTAAGTAAGTTACTGAGCCCTCCTTCAGGAACAACCGCTTGCGAATCCACATTTGAATTCATTTATGTTTTTGAACGATTAATTAAAATGATGAGAACACAATCGGGCTTTACTGTTGTGGTATCGTTGCAAATATGAACTCTAACCACCGATTCTTCACATGCTCGTCCCTGGTAAATGAAAACAACGTGGCTGAACTGTCTTTGCATTGCAGTGCACAGCGTCTTCTCGACATGATGCTATGATGAAGTATTTGAATGTGTAGACTTCAAGTTTACACTTCCGTCTGCACGGGCAGTAACTGGGCGTGGCCAATAGGTCTCTACGTCACGACGAACCAGCTAATGACTCGTTTCAAAAACAGAGTCGACTCTCACTTTTGAAAGATAATAACTTTATATGCGGTGCACTTTCAGATATAAATCTTTGCAGGATGTTTTCATTCCCTTAGAGCTATATAGACCCTTTTACAGTTGGTAAACATGGTGACGTTTTTTTGTGGGCGGAGCTTAGGTGGAGGCAGAACGATCCCTCTGGCCGCTTCACTAACGCTAGTTAGCTAGGATTGTTAGCTTGTTTAACAATGACTGGGGAAAATGTGATATTATCTTAATGTGTAAGGTCACTCAGTGTCCAGGACCGCGATTGTTATTTCCAAAAGTTATTTTTAACGGACGTAACCAGATTGGCCGACCCGTAGCCGTCTACACACTCACTCAGTGCATGGACGATCTGACAGGATTAACGTACGTTACCTCGGTTGAGTGGCCTGACTTCTACACCTACCTTACAGAGAAACCGATCGTAAAGAGAAACTGAGGACATATAAATCTTTAGATGCCTATATGGTCCTGTATAAGACTTGTGTGTAACCTTACGATCCGCAGTTCTGCCGAGACCACGACAATATAAAGAGTGACATTACAGTGCGATTTTAATGATGTGAATATTTTCTAGAAATAAAAGTTCCAGATACAGCATATTAATTTTTCATCAATTCTTGCACCAAACAACACAACAAGATGACATTTAATAATAGAAACAATTATTTAAGCTCCTTATTATGTAGCCGAATCTGTGCTGGTTTGTATTGGCCGCCTCCAGTTTTCACTTTGTTTTGCCTCCAGCTAGCGAAGTGACGTCGGCGCAAAAGGGGTCTATTCCACACCATATGAGCATTCATTTTAAAAAATCCATGATAGGGGCTCTTTAAACCATAATCAGATCTAATGGCGCTTTTCCACTGCATGGTACGGTACGGCACGCTTTGGAAAAGAGAAGCGAGCCGAACCGTACTAGCAGTGGAAAAGCGCCATAATATGGACTAAACATCATGTTTAGCTCATCTTATTGCGAGATCTCGCATATCCCGAACACAAATGGGTCAGCATTTCCCTTTTCTAGTGCTATAGAGAAGAAAACCCTCACCTGGTTTGTAACTGCATTCTTTTTCGGGCTGTTCGACACCGCTCTGCCCCGTACAGTCTTTTTGATGGTAGCGGGTGAGAAAGATGTAGCTCTGGGCTTGCCAAGTTCTGGGTTTTCTCCCCTTACATACAGTTCATACGGGAGCATCAGCCTAGAATTTGATTGAAAATGGGCATTGAGTTAGATGAGAAAAGCCCTCTGAGGCAGCAGGAATTAATCAGAGCTTCACGCTCACCTTTCATAATGCCTCCTCGTGCAGGTGGCAGCGCTGGTACTGCCTGGGCTTCCACCCAACTCATTGTACACGGTCTTCCACAAACGGTGCGATGTCACCTGCAGGCGATGGGGAGGACACTACTGAGCTCACCGCTAATGCTTTCATTCCGCTATGATGGATTACAGCTTACTCAGCACGGCCAAGGAATGAAACGGCATGACTTACCCTCTCATATCCTCCCAGTCTTTTTACAACTGAATACATGAGGAAAAGGTCAACTGTGGGCAAATAGGAAAACGGCTTGGTTAATCAATAAGTTAAGAAATGATTCTAGTGAGTGACTGGTACTCAATTGTTTTCACATGTAAAAGAAGTCATGCATACATACTCTTTTTGAAACCCAGGTTGGGCACTTTGCTTATAGGGGAACCCCTCCGCTCCATGAAGATAAACAGCTGATCCAGGAAGAGCTGCTCTTCTGGATGTGGGAGCCAGTTTCCATCCCAATGCATCTCCACACTGCCCATCACATTCTCCTACAAGAAAAAAAAAGAGAGTTACAGTACATTAGAAGTAGGGCCGTCAGTTAAACGCGTTATTAACCGCGTTAAAGGAGTAGTTCACTTTTAAAAAAACTTTTGCTGATAATTTACTCACCCCCGTGTCATCCAAGATGTCCACGTCTTTCTTTCCTCAGTCGAAAAGAAATTAAGGTTTTTGATGAAAACATTCCAGGATTTTCTCCATATAATGGACTTCAATGGGGACCAAAAGACAGTTTCATTGCAAACTGTTCAAAGGGCTTTAAACGACACCAGGCGATGAATAAGGGTCTTATCATGCGAAACGATTGGTTATTTCAAAACTTATTCCAAAAAAATTTAACTTTTCTCACGTAATTACGTCACGTAATACGTAATTACGTTCAAAAGGTCACGGGCGACGTAGCCGGAAGTACAGAGTCAGTGTTTACAAGTTGAACGCATAGGTTGAACGTGCAAACTGACTCAAACGCCGTTTACAAAAAAAGGTAAAACAACGATGTCGGACGATTCTGTACTTCCGGCTACGTCGCCCGTGACCTTTTGAACGTAATTACGTATTACGTGACGTTACAAACGCGCCTCACAGAATAGAGCAAGGCTAGCATTTGTCCTTAGAAAAGTTACATTTTTGGATTAAGTTTTGAAATCGCATGATAAGACCCTTATTTATCGTCTGGTGTCGTTTAAAGCTGCATCTGAAACTGTTATCTTTTGGACCTTGAACCGTTTGGACCCCATTGAAGTCCATTATATGGAGAAAATCCTGGAATGTTTTCATCAAAAACCTTAATTTCTTTTCGACTGAAGAAAGAAAGACATGGACATCTTGAATGACACGGGGGCGAGTAAATTATCAGCAAAAGATTTTTCAAAAGTGAACTAATTCTTTTTAACGGCATTAATTTTATCGCGCGATTAACAGTCTTTATGGCCTAGCAAACTTTGTCGTTTTTTTCCACATGATTTTGCAGCAGGACGCGGCATTTCAAGGACGTTTTGTTGCTTCGTCGACCAAAGCGCGAGCGGATCTAGCTAGACCGGAAACAAAACAACAGGCACGCCGCGGCCGCACACACTCGGCCAAATAGTTGATTAACGTTACGTTTTGAGTGGATGAAAATAACTATAGCATAACTAGCTCCTCGCCTTACAATATTTAATATTGGATATTATAGTTAGAAGCATGGAAAACCACAGTGTTCTCAAATTAAGTATTTTTAATAAAGTATTATCGTACCTTTTTTATTTCAATTGTAGTGTTGATTCATCTATGATCAGGTTTGTTTAACAAATGGCTTTTAACTCTTTCATAGAATATAATATACATTTTTACCCAAGTTCATTTTTTTTAACACCTAAAATTATGATAAAAATGGCAAACAGTGTCACAAATGGTGTGAAAGGAAGTCAAGATCTCAAAGTTAAAACAAAACAGGAAGCACCGAGTGTGACTATTTGTTCAAAATCTCAAAACATCCTGTAGATCTGTATTCATTAACAAGTCTAAAGAACTAGCAAACTCCACAGCATACCTTCATTCTCTCCATCCATGACTCTGATAAATGGTTATTGTTTTGCTGATCGTCCCTGCCCTTTCTTTTACGAGGTCTCCCCTTCAGACTGAGAGAAGTGCATCCTGGGACAGAAACATACATCATCTTTAGACAACAGTACTTCACTTTTTTTCTTTTTCAAAACATGCAAAATCATGTTACAAAAAGTGAACCGTCCCATTTGATCCTTTCCTGTAGTGTGTGTGTTCTGGATATTAGTAAAGATCTCAGGGTTACATCTGTTTGAGTTCAAATTAAAACACTGTAAGAGAATACACACTACATATTAGGGTTTTGTGAAAGTGAAATTCCACCTCTCAATGTTAATAAAGTACAAACTAATACAATATTTAACACAATCCTTTCTAGTTAAATATTAATGTGAATGAATTACATAAAAAAGAGCATTTCTCAGTTCAGTAAATATTATATTTGTAGGGTTGTCACAGAGCCATTAGCAGTCAAATTTCACGCTTCTCAGAGCTAAAACCATTGATTTTTTTTGTTTAAATATGTATATTTAACTTTTTGAAAATTACAAATATTAAATAAGTGAAATTGGTTCATTTTTAATGCTATTAAAGATAAGTAAATAATACATTAAAACTAGAGGTGCACGGATACTACATTTCTCTGCCGATACTGATTGTTTTCTAAATAAAATAATATAAAAAAAAAGCTCTCCAAATAATGCTCTAAACTATACAGGGAACCCTCCATTACAGTAATATTAGAGGTTAAAATATTATATACAATAACAACTGAAATGTTTGTACACAGCTCAGTTACACATAAGGTAGTTTGAATAAATTAGTCATGAAGACGCACGTTTATGAAAACACATGTATAATTAACAGTAAATAAGCTCCAGCTCACTTACGTGTCTTCATGACTAATTTATTCAAACATACATCTATAATTAACAGTAAATAAGCACCTCTCTAGTGTTTTTTATAGCTCACTAATGAACATTAAGTGGCATTACTCACACGCCATTTTATCTGTAACTTCACATTAAGAGCATCAAAACACCCATCTTTTTTTTTTAATTTCATGATAAAAGGGACATCATTTTAAAGCTGAGACTTTTCTTATCCATTAAAAAATGTGGACCTGGCAACCCTGGCTTGAACTACAGGTGATTCATGGGGTCAGCCAGAGCCTGCTTTAATGTCACATGCTTTTAAACCATTAATGCGTTAATTTACAGCTGGATAAAATAGTGTATTTTCCCAACAGTGATTATTGGCCAATACATTGGTACATACCTACTTAAAACATTAGTATGTAGGCTTCAACTATAGCTCAGTTAAATAAACATTGCACCAAAAAATCTTTTATCAAAAATTAGTAATAAATAAAATAAAATAAAAAAATGAAGAAACTACACTAAAACGAACGAGACATCCCAATTTTAAATCCAGTCCCGCATTTCATTAAGCTTTGCCGTGTGTATTTAACCAATTCATCATTTTTCATGCTGTTATGTACAGAAAGCAAACAAAGAGCTCTTCCATTCTGATCAGTGAAACCGGTATATCTCTTCAGATCAAGCTCATGGACTGCAATCAATCTGTTATTTACAGCATCTTTATACGCACACTGTGCAAACTAAGTTATTCTGACTGAGCCTATTGCGTTCATGCACTCAACAAACCTGTCTGTGATTGGCTAAAAAGTTCAATAGTGCAAAAGCACAATGGTAAGACCGTCATATGCAAAAACAAGTTTAAATGGGTACATTTTCTTTTCGGACATAGCCTACTCCAGTTCAAAACACACCACATGCAAATTCTGTGCATTTTGGGCACTTTTAAATCCTTTTTTTTTCCCATCAAAAGTGTGCTTTGCTTTCACTTTAATTGAGCACGGGCAGCACTTTTCATTTTATTTTAGTTAGTTTTGCCAAACGTACATTACCGTTTTTGTTAGTTAGTAATGCCTTGTTTTTATTTTTATTTCAGTTATAGACAATGTTTTTTCCCACCTAGTTTTCGTTTTTTCGTTAGTTTTGTTATCGGTTATAACCGAAGGCCAAAAGTTCGGTGCATCCCTAATTCAGGCATGTGATTGGCTAAGGACAAAAAAGCAGGAAAATATACTGAGAGGACCACCCCAATCCCAACACCGTGAACCGATATCGATTGTTATCGATTTTACTATTGATATCGGTTCTCTAGAATTGAAGAGAGTTGATTAGCCCTTGTGCATCAATTAAAAAAAAGTTACACACAGGTAAAAAGAGGACAAAAATGTCCATGTCAAAAAACTCATAAAAATGTGACGCTTTGGAGCAGCGTTAAGTTTGGTATCATTTTAAAGAAGACCCTTTGCAAATTATTGCTGAAGTAAAAAAATAATAATAAGTAAATCCAAAAAAAGTTATATAGGTATACATTTATGAAAATTATTTTATATAAAATATATATTTTATAAATCAGGTTGAACTCAAAACTGCAATAAAATCAAAGCCATAAATCTAAATAGGTTGTGTTCCATATTTGAGGATGATATCTCAAAAAATGAGCTTTGGGTAACAGTTTGTTTGTGTGTAGTAACATATTTCCCCCATTGGGTGGCAGCAAAACCCCACTGGAGCTCACAGTCATTGCAGTTTTTCTCTCTCAGTATTACAAACACACACACATGTTTTTTTATAACACACATACTAACCACACTCTGACATCCATACCAACACACCCACACAAATATCGTTGCATAATTTATCCAGTTGGCTCTATAATATGCCGAAGCAGAAACCAGGAATAAAGCGATATTTGTTTTATAAGCCAAACTTAAAAAAAAAAAAAAAGGCACCATCTGATAAAAAAATAGTAAAAAATAAAATTTTGAAGCCTTGCCATCAGAATGAAAGCCTCTTAACAAAGATTGCAGAATTTTTTAGTTAACTGAACCGGGGATTAAAAATGGCAGTTTTAATGGGTTTCAATGGGGACATTTTTGTCCAAACGGTGCTGAGAGGGAGTATTTTTTTGTACCTAATGCAAAAAATATTTTTTTTAAGAAAATGACGGTGAAATAGTAAAATTCCAATAAAAATACACACCTGTGCCAATTTTTTTGCCGTTAGCCTTAACACAGGCAAAGTGATCAAAACAACAAAAATGTCCATAAGGATGCACAAGGGTTAAAATCGAGAAATCGATATTTTTAACCAAGCCCTGTCACAGTCCAACAAGAGTGTATTACTCACCGAGCTGTGTCAGTATGCTAGCATTGCTGTCGAGCGTAGGGTGGTTGAAGGTGTCCCGACAGTAGAGGACTCGTGTGTTTCGGAGGGCCGCTTTTATTCCCCCCAGGGCCAGCAGATGCGGGTCCTGCAGACCGGGGCAGATCGCCTGATCCGGGACGCGGCTCTGAAGGGAACGGAAGCGGCAGTACTGGGGGTAACTGAGGACCTTCACCTTCTGCTGAGCCTCGTCTGACACGACACAGAACACAAGAGTCAGTCCATACATCAAATAATGACCCTCACTCACTACAGCTTCAATACTCACATGCAAAAAAAAACACGATATAGTTTAATAGAAAATATACTCATTCAATATTAGCTACAATCCCTGGGCTGGACTATATTATCACACTCCAGGGTTCTGTTTGCAAAATATTATGAAGAAGGCAATTTGACATTTTTGTAAGCTGAATGATTCACTTTCGATTCAAATTAAGAGTAGCTCTCTGTTTTGTATTTTAAAAATAGTTCACTTTTAAATGTCATTTCTATTCTATCACAATCTCACAAAATGTTGCCTACAAGTTCCTATTCACACATTTCACTCTTACTTATACTTAACTATAATGTGAAGTGCGCTCAGTTGGCTTTAGGCTGAAAAACAGACACAATGGACAATTTCATAAGCCGTCCTCTTTATTCACTTCCTGACAAATGCCTAACTCAAACAATACAGGGTTCATAAGAAAATAAGGCAAGAAGTACTTCGCGAGTTATTAACCGAACCTAAAACTATCAAAAATGGTTGGTTAATTAAAATAAAGCTGAAATAAAACTAAAATTTGATGGAAAAAAAAACACCCATGATTTTAAGCTAAATAAAACTAAGGTTGTATGTCATATAAAAAATGACAAAAGCACACAAAATTACAAAAATAAAAGCCAGTTCAAAATATTAATAAATACTATAATAGTGTGTGTGTATATATAAACCTCAATATAACAGAAATAAGTGAAAGTCACTTATTCTTCATCAAGAGTAATGGTTGGTTAATTAAAATAAAACTGAAATAAAACTAAAATTTGATGGAAAAAAAAAAACACCCATGATTTTAAGCTAAATAAAACTAAAACTGAAAATGAATTAAGGTTTTATATATATATATATATATATAAAATATTTATATAATAAATTATTTATAAAATAAATAAATGACAAAAGTTACAAAATTACAAAAAATAAAAGCCAATTCAAAATATTAATAAATACTATAATAGTCTCTCTCTGTGTGTGTGTGTGTGTGTGTGTATATATATATATATAGACCATTTCACAAGATGTAAACAACACTGGTCCAGAAGCACTTCCTGTTTCAGTTTTTTAACACTACATAAAAGCTGGGATAAAATACAACCAACAGAACATATAAAACTGAATCAAAAAAAGTTAAACAAACACCTTTAAGATGTTTTCTTTACATGTGAAATAAAGAAAACAGTTACAAACTGAAACAGGAAGTGCTTCTGGACCAGTGTTGTTTACATCTTGTGAAATGCTCTATATATATATATATATATATATAAACCTCAATATAACAGAAATAAGTGAAAGTCACTTATTCTTAATCAAGAGTAAACAAATGCATACAATGAAAAATTCCAACAACACAATTAATATTCATGAGCCAAGCCGATAAAGGACCCACTTTATAGTCAGTGTCTTTAACTACTATGTAATTACCATTTAAATTAATAATTTAATACAATGCACTTAGTGTACATACATGATTTGTTTTTACATTGCACTTCTATTTTAAAAAATACCTGTATGTAATTACGTCTAGAATTACACTGTTGATTAACTAACCAAACCTGTCCTCACCGTACCCATATCCCACCTCAATATCAGCAAGTGGTTTGCAAATTGGAATACAATATGAACACATTACAATGAGTAAATTGTATTGAACTATTAGTTTAAAGACACCTAATATAAAGCAGGACCCTGATACATGTTTAATTGTGTCTCCCCCTTTACAGACTGTCCTTACCCATTAAAGGAGTAGTTCACTTTTAAAAAAAACTTTTCCTGATAATTTACTCGCCCCCGTGTCATCCAAGATGTCCATGTCTTTTTTCTTCAGTCGAAAAGAAATTAAGGTTTTTGATTAAAACATTCCAGGATTTTCTCCATATAATGGACTTCAATGGGGTCCAAAATAGGGCTGAACGATTTAGGAAAATAATCTAATTGCGATTTTTTTAACCAATATTGCGATTGCGATTTAATATGCGATTTAGAAAAAAAAGTTATTTACCTTCTGTATTAGTCGACAAAGACAAGCAATAAATCATTGTACAGTAAGGATGGGAATCTTTAGATAGCTCATGATCCGATCTACTTTTTTTCTTATTAATTAATCTTAATAACTCTTAAAATATGTATTTAATTACATGTGTAAAAACACATACTTTAAAAAATAAATATAAAAAAAACATTAAATTAAACCAATTACATGTTAAGAATTTTAAATAGGCCTAGGCTATATAAAATAATATAGCTTCAAAATATAAAAGCTAGTAAATAAAGAGAAACAAAAAAAAAAAACATTACAAGCAATAAACAAAGAGTGGTCTCAGTATTTAAAAGTAGGCTGTCTGAATGTTTTTCATTCGAGAGCTGGAGTGATTTCCCCTCAGTTTAGATACGATAAGCTGCATTCACACTAATATCTCTTTTGAAATTGTAAATGTGGTTTGTCCTGTTGGTTTAAGATATATAACTGACCGTGTTTACATCAATTTCGCAACATAAAAGCATTTTGACATGCAAGCACATTTACCAATGAGTCGCTCACGGCCGCATGCACGAGCGCTCTTCACAAAGCACGCGTTAGTATTTTAAAATGAAAGCAGCCTTCTCAGTGATTTTAATGGTTTTAATATATAAGCCGACTGCATTCCAAAAGACATAAATAATGCCTCTGTGAATCATTTGTAAAGAAAATTCCCGCGGGAGAGAACGCGCACTGCAAGAGTAACGTTATAACATCAAGCAAAGCGGCAAAACCTGTTCAATGAAGCCCGCGAATGTCCTTGTAATTTGGTTCAACCCCGACCTTTATAAAATAACGTTACTATGTTTTGTAAGGTTCGAGCGGTGTCGTGTGTGTGAGTGAGGAAGAGAGAGCGAGAAAATAGAAGCAAGCAGATTCAGAACACGGTTCGTTTCTAAAGCACGCGCAGCGTCATCACGCATCTGTGTTTAAAAACTATAAGCTCAGACTCGATTCTGAAATTCTCTGAATCGATCCAGGATTGTTGAGGAGAGAATAAATAACACAATAAACTGTTCTTTTCTGGACGCCAGACCGCGTAGCGTGGCAAGTTGATGCTTTATCTTGCAGACTGCTTTTCTCTCGCGTGTCACGTGACCAGTGTAATCGCAGCCCTTGCGATTACAAAATCGCGTTTCATCATATCGCGATTTTATCGCAAATGCAATTAATCGTTCAGCCCTAGTCCAAAAGACAGTTTCAGTGCAAACTGTTCAAAAGGGCTTTAAACGATTCCAGATGAACAAATCTTTTTTGAGTCACTTTGTTAATTTCATTCGTTGAATGAACCAAATGACTCACTATTTTGATGAACGAGTTCGAACAGGAGAGTCACGAACGCGCATCACAGAACAGAGCAAGGCGACCATTTGAGCTTATAAAACTTAAACTTTGTTATTTATTTATTAAATGAGCGATCGTTTCGCTTGATAAGACCCTTATTCATCGTCTGGAGTCGTTTAAAGCCCTTTGAACAGTTTGCACTGAAACTGTCTTTTGGACCCCATTGGAGTCCATTATATGGAGAAAATCCTGGAATATTTGGAATTTCTTTTCGACTGAAGAAAGAAAGACATGGACATCTTGGATGACACGGGGGTGAGTAAATTATCAGCAAAAGTTTTTTAAAAGTGAACTACTCCTTTAAGAAACCAAAAAAAATGCAGTTCAGGACTTTTACTCACCGTCACCCTCCGTTTTGCCTTCCTGTGGAGAACTCGCGTCTTGTGACCCATCAGAGCCGGGAATGTCTGGACTGCTGTGTTTCCACTGTGGCGGTTCCTGACAAGTCCACTTCACCAGATCCTCCACTCGGACTACGATCTTTTTTGATACAGCGATTACTTCATCCTGTGCAAAAAATATGCGAAGTAAACATGAGATAACAGGCAGGACTGGGGCTTTGCTCAATGGCCTGAAGTATTTTAACACCATTAGAGAATGCTAGAGAGAAGCCTCTCCCTTTTTCCTATGTTATACTAACAAGAGACGCATCGCCTCGGGCAAAAACTAACAACCAATCACTTTAAAAGAAAAAGAGGGGTAAAAGCCCAGCTGACATTTACATGCTTATCTATGCGACATTCTCACATTCTACTGTTTACAATGAAAGCTTTAGTACTCCTCCTTATTTATTTGGTTACAAAATGGCCTTTTGTTCTAAACGCGTTATGAAAAAGTAAAACATTACAAAGGACACTGAGACCTTGTTTAAAATACCGTCTAGGTCAGCCATGACTGCTTCTTACAGTATCATTCAACTTCAGATGAACCAATCTGAGAGGAGTTTGTCCGCATATGACTGGAATCTCCAAATGAAGAGTTCAGATGCAAAAGCCTCTAAGTACCATTAGACATTTTCTTCTAAAATAATCACTTTTATCAAGCTTATATATTTAAGTTCAGTAATTTCACTTAAATGACAACGAAGATTACCTATTAATTGTTATTTAAGTGAAATCACTGAACTTAAATATATAAGCTTGATAAAAATGATCATTCTAGAAGAAAATTTCAAATGGCACTTAGAGGCTTTTGCATCTGAACTTTTCAAATAAACTATGAAATAACTCATTAATGTTCATTAATAAATCAAAAACTTCTTCATTCTATGTTTAGGCAACTAAAAGTCGCTTAAATCATTCTGTTACTAAAAATATTGCAAGTTAAATCAATTAACAGACAAAAAAAATGTGCATTTGTATACCACAGAAGGAGGGATTTGACTTAAAGTTGCATAAAGCTGTGATGCGTGGATGCACGTTCCTAATAAACATTATCACATCTTTTCTATACGTCTATTAATGTTTTAAATAATTAATAACGATCGCTCATAAAAAAATAACAAGTTAATGATAGATTTTATAAGCTCTGTTTTGTGTGACTCTCCTGTTCGAACTCGTTCATCAAAATGAATGAATCTTTTTTCGTGTGATTTGGTTCATTCAACGAACGAAATGAACGAGTTTCGGGAAAAGATTCGTTCATTTTGATGAACATGAGAGTCACGAACGCGCATCACAGAACAGAGCAAGGCGAACATTTGAGCTTATAAAACTTAAAAGGTGGAATACCTAAGATTTTTGCATTAAAATATCCCAAAATCACAAGGCCAGTGTTATATATTTAGTTAAGATGATAACTTACAATATTCCAAATGTTTCAAACAATGTTTAAATCGCGAGAAAATTTAGATTTTAACCAGAGAAACGGGGCGTGTGAGCTGGGAGTCGCGAGTCAATCGCATCATATCCACGTTACCTCTTACGCTCGTACTACGCGTAGTCCTGGACAAATGCGGTAGTTGTGCGTTAGCGTCTATCAAGCAACAAACATCAGCTTGTTTCGCGCATTTGTTATGGAATGGAGCACAATTATTCTTTTCAATTATTCTGGGAATGTGAACTGTTGGCTGTAAAGGGGGTCGCACACCGGACGAGAAGCGCCGCGCCACGTTTAGGACAACTCCACAGTATCGAACACCGGACGCGCACTTTCTCATCAGTGTATGGCCAGCAATATTGTCAAAATAAGTCACTTCGTCCAGTGACTCGTACAGTAACATCTGTGAAAACTAATTTACTTTTAAACCTGACTTTTCTTGCGGTTATTTCAGTTTAAATGAGCGATCGTTTCGCTTGATAAGACCCTTATTCATCGTCTGGAATCATTTAAAGCCCTTTGAACAGTTTGCACTGAAACGGTCATTTGGTCCCCATTGAAGTCCATTATATGGAGAAAAATCCTGGAATGTTTTCATCAAAAACCTTAATTTCTTTTCGACTGAGGAAAGAAAGACATGGACATCTTGGATGACACGGGAGTGAGTAAATTATCAGCAAAAGTGTTTTCAAAAGTGAACTACTCCTTTAATTATAAGTTTTATAAGCTCAAATGCTCGCCTTGCTCTGTTTTAGTGCGACTCTCCTGTTCAAACTCGTTCATCAAAATGAATGAATCTTTTTTCGTGTCATTTGGATCATTCAACGAATGAAATGAACGAGTTTCAGGAAAAGATTTGTTCATTTTGATGAACAGGAGAGTCACTGAACGCGCATCACAGAACAGAGCAAGGCGAGCATTTGAACTTATAAAACTTAAACTTTGTTATTTATTTATTAAATGAGCGATCGTTTCGCTTGATAAGACCCTTATTCATTGTCTGGAATCGTTTAAAGCCCTTTGAACAGTTTGCACTCAAACTGTCTTTTGGTCCCCATTGAAGTCCATTATATGGAGAAAATCCTGGCATGTTTTCATCAAAAACCTTAATTTCTTTTCGACTGAAGAAAAAAAGACGTGGACATCTTGGATGACACGGGGGTGAGTAAATTATCAGCAAAAGTGTTTTTAAAAGTGAACTACTCCTTTAAGTACAGGTTGTTTCTGCAGTCTCACCTCTCCATGCTCCACTGCTCTGCCCTTCGGAGTGTCCTCGGGTAAGAAGTAGAGTCTGGAACTGGCCAGCAGGCGGCGCTGCGTCTGATCCTCCCACAGCAGCGTGACCTCGGCGATACACACCGGCTCCTGAGGGCCACAGCGCATGAAGTAGAACTCCCCGAGCTCCCAGACCCGAGTCGCACCGCCGGACTCCTGCTTGCAACCCACCGACTTATAAAAGGCGAAGGAGCCTCGAAGGCAGCTAGGAGCACCTAACCACTGATCGAGACACAAGCAGCCCGGTTAGGGAACCAACATATGACGAAAGAAGTGCAGCTGTGAGAAAACATCCAAACTCCTTCAGTTTTAAAGGGATAGTTCAGGCAAAAATTAAAACTGTGACATTTTCTCTCCCTCAAGTCGACACAAAAGATGATATTTTAAAGAATATGGGTTTTTGGACCCCATTGACTTCCATAGTAAAACAAAACTATGGGAGTCACTGCGACTGTCTAAGCAACATTCTTCAAAATATCTTCTTTTGTGTTCGGCTGAAGAAACTCTTACAGGTTTGGACTGACTCGAGGTCGAGTGAATAATGGCAGAATTTGTATTTTTTGTCAGAGCACAAAATTATAAGTTGCATAAAATAACAAGCAAGACTGTGGTTAAAAAAACAGCTCATCGATTCATTCATTTGGAATTTGCTCCTGCGCAGATATTTTAAGCAAATAGAAATGCTGTCGTTCCACAAACACTTCATAACAGCTCTGGAAGAAAATCTATGCATACGAAGCTCAAACACACACACACACACACCCTTCACATGACTCAAATGATCTGTGTGAGCAGCGTCGCTGTCTTCTCAAATCAGCCGAGCGCTCACACACACACAAATGTCTTGACTTTTTTCTGCTAAACATAAGAGACTAAAACACATGAACGAATCATTCACATAACCTACTCAGAATTGTTTGGTAAAGTTTCCACGGTTGAAAACACATTCCAGTGTATTAATCTACTTAGGAATGGCCCGATAGCGATGGAAAAACACAAAGATTTTTTTCTATTATTTGAGTTGCAGAAAGTAAAACATAAAAATTCCACAGAGATGATGCCAGAACGTGGTTTTAGGCTAATATTAAACAATTCTGGATCTAAAAATGGACAATAAATGGGACGGCTACACTAAATATTTGATGTTTTTGTTCGTGATTTTCAAAGAAATGTTTACGTTTGAAGATTGGGTAATTTTATCCAAGATAATTCAGTTGATGACACACATTTTTTGGTCAATGCACACGAACGTAGAATAGTGTTTAACTATGCTCATTTAAATTATAAATATTAATAACAGTAAAATGTTTTAGTACTATATTAGCATACTAAAAAATAAATCAACAAATAAAATAGTTAAAGGTATAAGTAATGCAAAAGGCTAATGAGAATTCATTTATCTGAGACAAAATGAATTCATTTGATAATTGATATCAAATGGACAAAAATGTGGAGGCTATACAGAATATCACAACAAATTATTTAAGGATTGCTTCATATCTTTAACATACTGAAGATAATTTAGTTGATAACATGTTTTTGAATGTATAATTGTTATTTTGATAACATTAAAAGGTTTTAATACTAGTATCAATGTTTGTTGTTTTAATAACTTCAGCAGCATGTATTAGCATAGCAAGAGTTAAAAAAGAAAAGAAAAAAATAGTAAAGTTATAATGCAAAAAGGCTAATGCTAATTTATTTATCTGAAACAAAATTATTTGATAATGGATGAAAGCCTATATATTTAACTATCATAAAATACATAATTTGAAGTTATTAGCACTACAAACTAGTTTCAAACATATAGGCAACAACACAATGACAAATTATAAAGTAATAAACTCTTTAACTATAGGCAACCTTAGTCATGAATGTGTTATTGGTATTGAGATTAAAATATGAGTGACAAATTATGAATAATTCAATATGCACGTGGAAATTATTTTATTTGTCCATCTGCATTTTGTAACTGGTCAATTCGAACATATTGCATTGGCTCTTGAACATACTCAATATGTCAATCACAGGACCCATTCACGAGGGTCAATCACCCCCACCCCACCCCCACCGGTAACCCACATTTTCACCAAAAAACCGACCAATCAGAAGCCACAACACTCGGCGTCCACATGTCGAGCGCCTACTGGTAAAAAAGAGAACTAGTCACAGTTAAACCACAATACACGTCTGTGACAGTCAACTTTACACTGTATATACTCCAACGTGTGAGTGTTTTATCCCAATCCAAAAAATATTAACGTTACATGGAGAAAGATTTCGAAATAATAACCAAATGACCTTGGAGCTTTTACTGAGGCCAAAACTGTTTATATTTATTAGCATGCATAATGAAAAATAACTCATATCAGAGTTGCTGATCATGAGGATGAACATTGTGTATATTTTATAAACAATCATTTAAAAAAAAAAAAAAAACATCCTCAATCCGGGTCCTCTCTGAAGCTAATAATACTGGTATTCACTCAATATGTGAAACAACATATTTCAGCCAACTTCCTACTGCCACATACATAAAAGTCTCATATATCATGACAAAAAAAAAATGTCCTGCTGTAGCCTAGCATTTCTAGCCAACACGAATAATATCTTAATAATATTAAACGCATTATAAAAAATAAGCGATGTTGTTGTTGCTAAACACAACATTTATGAAAATAATGATATCACGGATCAAATAACTTAAGCTTGGCGAAAAAAACTTCGTCGTCTCAAATAAAATCAGCAGCTCCACCAAGTTTACCTCCTCCTAGAAGTTTCATATTAAAATCGTGCTTAATATTAATGGGATTTCGTCGAAAAATGCATCGACAGGACGTGAATATAAACAATGCAGCTTTCCCTTTAAAATCGTGGGCTCGTATCGTTTTTAATAAAGAAATTAAAACAAAATCTGCTTGGCAAATGTGAAATGTGGGGGTGGGGGGCAAAAGAGGGAGAATCTAGGTAGTCAACACGACACACAAAGAAATTAATCATTAACGACAAAAATCGAAATATCAAACGCACGCGCTCTTGATATAACAATAAATCGTCACACACAAAAAACCCACACCGCGTCGAGGAAATTTCAGATACATTTCGAAACAAATAAAAGTTTCTCGGCGAAATATGAGGGAATATTTTCAAGTCTTCGTTGGCTTATTGGATAGGAATCAATTCGGCATTTTAACGAACTTCAAATATCACGACGTGTCGCGAGCACAGCGGTTACACAAAAAAAAGAATTTTAATTTTTTTTTTTTTAAACAAAGCGAATTTCGAGGTCGCGCGCCGAGCGCCTTGAGCTGTAACAAAGTAACAGTTTAAAGTTGTAATTCAGTTTACCTGTATCGTACTCTGCTCCATTGCAACTCAACATTCCCTTATCCCTCTCGATGCCCCCTATCAAGTTACACAGCCGGGTACTAACAGCACCGGCACACACATAACCGTATAGCTGAAGAAAAGCTTGTGCCTTTTTGTGAAAATAGGGCAGGATCTAGGTGTGGCTTAACTGCATTTGCCAAAAGAACTTTAATATATGTTATGCATTGTACACAAAATTGCCTGTGCAAACATGCTCTTGGTTTAATTTAACCCAGTGAGTAACAGTGATCCCGAAATACAACACAATTTCAACATGGAGCCTTGAATTCAGCATTTCAAGACAATATCCATATGTACAGTAGCCTACAGAGCATGCGTGCTGTTCTTCTGTAAAATAGCCCATTTTGAAAGCATTCAATAAATAGCGAACCGTCTAAAGATCTGCTAGTCTGACGTGTGTGTATATATATATTTTAAATCTAATGTCTAAAAATATAATGTGTGGTCTATAATATATGCATGAAATTTCCCTCTAAAAATATAGTCTACTTGTTCACATTGTAAACACGGGTCTTGTTGGCCAGTGCAGTCGTTTGCTGTATGCATGCTAAATATACATGAATGTATAGGCTAATAGACAATACAAATTTAAATATTTATATAATAAACAATTGAAAATAGTTACATTTTGTTCTCCAGCAGGGGGGGTCTCCACGTGATCATTTCCGAGACAATGGCTGTGACATTTCATTTTTCTTGCTCTTGCTGACACCAGAAATATTCTCATAATAGTCTTTTTTTTATTTCTATTACAAGTTATTTAACAATTTGATATCAATTACTGGCCAGCTATCATTTCTTAAGTGGAGGGCGACAAATACAAACTTTACAATACTGTGATGTTACAATGTTATGTGAAAGCAGGAGGAGCAATAGAAAATGCAATGTGTAATATTGTGATTATATAACTGCATAAATATAATGAACTGTTTTTATTATGATCAACTGATAAAATAATTTTTGACGAGGGAAAAAACAAAGAAGTCTAATGTTTTCAATTTTGTAACCCAAAAAATGAGAAAGGTTAAAAAAAAATATGAAAAAAAAAAAAAAAACAGTAATATTATTGTTAATTATATCATTATCATTCTTCTCATTTTCATCCACAACAAGCTTTATATTTTCTAACTCTCTCTCTCTCTCTCTCTCTCTCTCTCTCTCTCTCTCTCTCTCTCTCTCTCTATATATATATATATATATATATATATATATATATTAGTGCTGTCAAATCTATTAATTGCGATTAATCACATCTAACATACAAGTTTGTGTTTATAGAATAAATGTATATTATACATGATATGTACACGTCATGTGTGTGATACATATAACACAAACTTGTATGTTATACATATATAACAAAAGTAGCAATAAATGTAATATGTATAATTAAGAATTGCATATTGGAAATTATATGTTTTATAAATATACAGTATAATAATTATGAATTGTGACAAAGTTAGTCAAGGTCAATTGTTCCACTCACGGCTGAATATACACACTATTGCTCAAAACACAATAAATTCATACAAATAGCGGTTTACCTCAACAATATACAAATGTGTTTCTTTTAGTGGAGTTTGCAGCGAAATGTCACTTTACACACACACACACACACAAAGGAAGCGTTCTTCCTCACACTGGCCTCGCGGTGGCGCTGTTGCCTCTATCATTTCTTTTGTCAGTGTTCAGCCTCTGCAAGTGTGGGAAACTGCTTTCGTCAGTCGATTTATCCTTCAAATTCTCTGAGACATGACCGCAGAGATGTGCTTCAACATTCTCTAAATACACCAATAAAATATATTTGTAAATTAGTTACATAGGATATAGCCAGAAATAAACTCAGATACTGTACCTCTTATTCTGTGACGGAGTAAACATGCATTTTCTGCTTCTGTTTTTCTTATAGTGTTTGTTGTGTCAGTTCTTGGCTCATCACCGTTCCTATGACCCATTGTGAAAGTTAACAGATAGCCTACTTTTACATAGTCAACTAATTGAATTATTAACAAAAGTCTTATCTGTGTGAGTGACCAGTGAGAACATTGTGCCATCTTGCTGTCAATTTAAAATGCTATACAATTTCTATAAGTGAAATACACTCTTGTGAAAAAGTGTGCTTAATTCAAATCTTAAAGTAGGCTATATAGGCCTATATTTTAAAAACACTGTCATTGCACATTAAATGGCCATTCAAGTATACTTAAAAAGCACATTTTGCACCTTGCAATGTCAAATTTAAATGTTTACGTTAAAGTACAGTTTGAATCTTTAGTCATGCTTTAAATAGACACAATCATTTTGATCCGTTTACCAAAGTAACATGTAAAGTAGGCCTACTTTATCATTTTAACTGCAGTGTGCTATTTATTTTTATTACATTTAAAGTTGATATACTTTAAATGTGCTAAAACTGTGTCAGAAGGCACTGCTCAACTACCCTAATTACATTTTATATTTTTTATTAAATTTAATTTAATTTATACATTTTCATTTAATAGTAAAACAAAACATGCAATAAGTCTTCAAAACAGTACATTCTATTCACACTTCAGTATATTTATGAAAGTAGCCTATATTATTTTAACAAATAGTTTTTTAAATGGACTCGACTAGCCTACATCTTTTTCACGAGAAGCTAAAAACAATGCTAATATAGCCTATATTTTAGCATGTATGCTAATAGCTTGTTTGGGCGTATATACCATATACTGTAAAAAGTATATAGCCTACTCTTACATTTGGTGATAATAATAATATTGTTTTTTTTTTTTTATTGACCTCTATGATAAACTCATTTACGATCAAAGTTATTAAAGTATTTTGTAAACTGTCTCAACCAATGGCACGATTTGGTGGCGGGGCTACTCGTTTGTCGAACCAATGGCACGATTTGGAGGCGGGTCTACTTGTTTGTGGAACCAATGGCATGATTTGGAGGCGGGGCTGCTGCTTGTAAAACCAATGGCATGTTCTAAGATCTAAGTGGAAAATGCATTATTGAGGAAATAGGGTGGAGGAAAAAACAATAAGTATATTAGTACTTAGTATATACTAAGTATATAGTATATAGCGCATCAAATTAGATTGCATCAAAGCAACTTCACAGTAGGCTATCATTCAAAATATAATAACAATGTTCGTTTCTTAGTGGAAAAACATCCAGTTTGGTAGAGCTGATCAAGGGTATTACTGATTGGTTCATTTTGAATATTATAAATTATAATACGAGCCCACCAGGATGGGAAGTTTAGGCGAAGAAAATGATATCATACCAAAAACAAATGAAACTGGAGAGAGGAAATTCTCCACAGGAAGTGTCTGAAATGACTGGAACACAAACTGGACAAAGAAACAGCAGCGGCACTTTCGAGAATTTTCTTTTAAAACTGACCTTGACCCGGTGGAAAACCAAGCTTTCTCAGGAAGTTTGTGGCATCCTGAAATCAAATATTGCCTATATCTCAAATGCAGTGGTTTTTCCTTTCTCTCTTGGCAGTGAAATCTGAAATATGACACTTCATGTTTTAGTTTGCAATCTTGCAAGAAATACTACTCGCTATTAACAACTCATGAGCTTCCTTGTTTTGCTCAACTTGTCGAGGCTGTACGAGGCCACAGAGATTCTGGGTTTCTGCCAAAGAGTAGCAGAAGTGCTGGGCCGATAGTGGAACAAAACTGGACCTGTTTCCCTTCAGGAGCCCATAAAGTCTTATATTGCTGTAAAATAAAATCCTTTAAGCCATAACTGAAATCTGTTCCAAATTTAACAACACAAAAGCCTTTGTTTCAGCTGTTCCCGCACGTCACAATATTACACTGACACTGACAGACCTGAGCTTGTTCAAAGTGATGTGTGTATGATGGAAGTGTGACTTAAACTTGATTAACACACAAAACACCCACTGAAACAACAGCTAAAAACGACAGTTTTAGAGGGATTTTGGCCAATTTTTGTTAGCTGATAAGTCTGGTCAAGATGGGAGACCAGCTAAAACCAGTAGAACCAGTTTGACCAAAACCCCTCTAAAACCAGCCTGGGAGACCAGCTTAAACCCCCAGCAGGGATGGTTTATAATCTTTTAACATAAAATAAAGTGCAGGGTTCTTTAAAAGATCATTTAACTTTTCCTTGTTATGTTTATATGTGTATATCACACTCTAAACCCAAACGTTCTTTGTTTTTTAAGATGAAATGGAGCATTTCCATAATCATTGACATACATCTCTGCATTTATAATTAACCCAACCTATCTATTAAGTAGACTAATGAATGCTATAAATGTTGTTACATTACATCAGGAATACTAATTCATCAACTAAATACATTATCATATATACGGCAACTAATGCATCAACAATGAGCCTCATCTGTACTTAAATAAAATGTCATTAAAACATTTCCATGTTAAAAACCTAAATATATTGGACCTTCAAATTGATTTAGCTTAGTCACATTGATTTCCACTGCAGATATGGAGTGCAAAAAACTTGTTCTGTCCATACTTTAGGACATTCTCATGAATCCTTACATAACTGGGTCACAATTTCAATGCAAAGTGTCCCGCAGAGAGACGTCCCCCCGACCCTCCTGTTTCCCTCCATATTCTCTCTTTTCCTTGAGGACATTTGCACATGTGCGGGGGAAAGCATTAAAACACTATATATATATATATATATATATATATATATATATATGAAGAGTTCAGATGCAAAAGCCTCTAAGTGGCATTTGAAATTTTCTTCTAAAATGACCATTTTTATCAAGCTTGTATATTCAAGTTCAGTAATTTCACTTAAATGGCAATGAAGATTACCTATTAATAGTCATTTAAGTGAAATTACTGAACTTAAATATACAAGCTTGATAAAAATGGTCATTTTAGAAGAAAATTTCAAATGGCATTTAGAGGCTTTTGCATCTGAACTCTTCATATATATATATATATATATATCTTACCAAATCTTACCAATCCCAAACTTTTAAATGGTAGTGTGTGAGTAAATATACATGGAATGACCGGAGCAGAGATGATGTTGCTCCACTCTTGGGTACAAAAACAGCACAGAATATGAATCTTTATGAATAAAATGAGGTGAATGTATTCAATAATCAAGCTGCTCTCTGGATGACAATGAAGCGCTGTATCATACAAATCCCACAAGATGGCGCTGCTACCACACAAATCAAATTACATTACACACTGCTCATCCCAAACCTCTGATTCTGAGTGTGTGTACATCCAAAAAAAAAAAAAAAAATTAGAATGGCATAATGTTGCAAAATTTCTTCACTTCACATGGCTTAAATATTTCTCGTCAACCTGTAGTTCATCTGGTCGGAGACTGACTAGCATGTTTAGAGAAAGACAACATTTCTGTAAGCCCTTAAAATACACCAAGCACTTTGGAAGAGACATTCAGAAAACTATATGATAGACATTTGCAAATTTCTCAATGCAAATGTAAAGAAAAGCTTGCTGTAAAGGTGCACTCACAAAAAATTCAGGCAAAAAAAAAAAAAAAAAGGTCCATTGCCAATAGTGCAGCGATGAAGCACCCTCAATATCAGTTCTTTCTTTTATATGTGTGGAGAATCGTATCTTATGGAAGCTTGTTTCCACCACTCGATAAAAGAATATAATAATAATAATAATAATTGCGACTTTTAATCTCACAATTGCGAGATATGAAGTCAGAATTGTGAGAAATGAAGTCAGAATTGCGAGAAATAGTCGCAATTATGAGAAATAAAGTCGCAATTATGAGAAATAAATTCACAATTATGAGAAATAAAGTTGCAATTGCGAGATATAAAGTTGCAATTATGAGAAATAAAGTCACAATTATGAGAAATAAAGTCACAATTATGAGAAATAAAGTTGCAATTGTGAGATATAAAGTTGCAATTATGAGAAATAAAGTTGCAATTATGAGAAATAAAGTTGCAATTGCGAGATATAAAGTTGCAATTATGAGAAATAAAGTCGCAATTATGAGAAATAAAGTCACAATTATGAGAAATAAAGTTGCAATTGCGAGATATAAAGTTGCAATTATGAGAAATAAAGTCGCAATTATGAGAAATCAAGTCACAATTATGAGAAATAAAGTTGCAATTATGAGAAATAAAGTCACAATTGTGAGAAATAAAGTCGCAATTATGAGATATAAAGTTGCAATTATGAGAAATAAAGTTGCAATTATGAGAAATAAAGTTGCAATTGCGAGATATAAAGTTGCAATTATGAGAAATAAAGTCGCAATTATGAGAAATAAAGTCACAATTATGAGAAATAAAGTTGCAATTGCGAGATATAAAGTTGCAATTATGAGAAATAAAGTCGCAATTATGAGAAATAAAGTCACAATTATGAGAAATAAAGTTGCAATTGTGAGATATAAAGTTGCAATTATGAGAAATAAAGTCGCAATTATGAGATATAAAGTTGCAATTATGAGAAATAAAGTTGCAATTGTGAGAAATAAAGTTGCAATTCTGAGAAATAAAGTCGCAATTCTGAGAAATAAAGTTGCAATTATGAGAAATAAAGTTGCAATTATGAGATATAAAGTTGCAATTATGAGAAATAAAGTCGCAATTATGAGATATAAAGTTGCAATTATGAGAAATAAAGTCGCAATTATGAGAAATAAAGTCACAATTATGAGAAATAAAGTTGCAATTGTGAGATATAAAGTTGCAATTATGAGAAATAAAGTCGCAATTATGAGATATAAAGTTGCAATTATGAGATATAAAGTTGCAATTGCGAGATATAAAGTTGCAATTATGAGAAATAAAGTCGCAATTATGAGAAATAAAGTCACAATTATGAGAAATAAAGTTGCAATTGTGAGATATAAAGTTGCAATTATGAGAAATAAAGTCGCAATTGTGAGAAATAAAGTCACAATTATGAGAAATAAAGTTGCAATTGCGAGATATAAATTTGCAATTATGAGAAATAAATTCGCAATTATGAGAAATAAAGTCACAATTATGAGAAATAAAGTTGCAATTGCGAGATATAAAGTTGCAATTATGAGAAATAAAGTCGCAATTATGAGATATAAAGTTGCAATTATGAGAAATAAAGTTGCAATTATGAGATATAAAGTTGCAATTATGAGAAATAAAGTCGCAATTATGAGAAATAAAGTCGCAATTATGAGAAATAAAGTTGCAATTATGAGATATAAAGTTAGAATTATGAGATATAAAGTTGCAATTATGAGAAATAAAGTCGCAATTATGAGAAATAAAGTTGCAATTATGAGAAATAAAGTCGCAATTCTGAGAAATAAAGTCGCAATTATGAGAAATAAAGTTGCAATTATGAGAAATAAAGTTGCAATTATGAGAAATAAAGTCGCAATTCTGAGAAATAAAGTCGCAATTCTGAGAAATAGTCGCAATTATGAGAAATAAAGTTGCAATTATGAGAAATAAAGGCGCAATTATGAGAAATAAAGTTGCAATTCTGAGAAATAAAGTCGCAATTATGAGAAATAAAGTTGCAATTCTGAGAAATAGTCTCAATTGCAAGATATAAAGCTCAATTCTGAGAGATAAAGTCGTAATTGTGAGATATAAAGTCGGAATTGTGAGGAAAAAAAGACAGAATTGAGACTTTTTCTCACAATTGTGAGTTTACATCTCGCAATTCTGACTTTATGACACATAATTGTGCAGTATTTAGTTTATTGAATAGTTTATATCTTACATTTCTGACTTTATATCACGCAATTGCGACTTTGTATCAATTCTGACTTTATATCTCGCAATTGTGAGAAATAAAGTCAGAATTGTGAGATAAAAAAAATTGCAATTACCTTTTTTGCGGAAACAAGCTTCCATACTTGTCTGCATCGTGAAATTTCACTGAAGAAAAAGGCACAGGCAGAAGTGTGTTTGATAGGTTAAAAACAGACACTTAATACAAACGTCATGAGGTGTCAATATCATTTAATACACATTTACAACACAAAACTTTAAATATATAAATTTGTGCACTTTTTTATTTTGTAAAAAGCCATAGAAATGGAGAGGCAATGAAAAGCACAGACACCAGTGTTAATAAAGGCATGTGGACACTATCTCTTGAACTTTCTTTTTCTAGAGAGTCTTAGGCTGTTCTTAGAGGAGTCCAGAAGGCAGTCCGAGTTTTCTGATGGAGGACTGAAGGCAGTACTGGGACAGGACGAGTCTATGCTTTCAGACATCTCCGTCACTGCAACACCACTGGGGGAGCGTTCGTGATATGATTAGTGCTGATTTCATTGGAAAAAATTAAAGGCATATGCACAAACAATATTGAAATTGTACCAGCTGCTCTTTGTAGAAACATCAGATGGCCCAGGTTCATCACTGCCTGAAAGTGAAGATTAAATATAATAAAAAGCCTCATAGGTCAAGCTTTATTGGCATAAACAGCAGAAATTCAGTCTGTTTTCAATAAATGTAAATCAATATTACACACCAGTAGGTCTCCGTTCGGTCCGTTCCAGAGCAGAAAGTAGGCCGCTTTCCTGCAAAAACACTACAATAATGAAACTTGATATAAACACAGGGCTCGACAGGGACAATTAGCCTGATTAAAACGCCAATAACTAGGAAATGGAAACAAATGAGCAAACACACACAAAGAAACTCAGTTAACATACGACGGTAAAAACTCAAAATGTGGAGTTTCTAGATTTAGAAGAACTACAGTATATAATGCAGTTAAGCAACATCACACAACCAAGAGTGTGAACAATGATTTAATATGACAGTTCAATAAACAAGTAATTCTTCGATTTAGGACGGTTGAGTCAAAGATTCAAACGAATCGTTTGAACGAATGGCTCAATGACTCACTCATTACGACGATCACCTACGGGCGCTTTAAAAATATCATTCTTTCTTATTTGTATATTCAAAAAAAAAATATCTCATAACATTATTTAAAGCAGTTGTAATTTTTCAGTGTAAATTATTTAATTTGATTGGTGTTTTTTATTCTAATTTATTTTATTGAGTCACTGAAATTAAGAATTTAAAATGAAAGATAAAGTATATATTTATAAGATTAGAGGGATAAAATGCCCTTATATGCAGATTTAACAGTGATTCAGAATAAATTATATTTACAACACAAAAAAATTTAAATAACTTCCGGACAAGCTGATTTTTTACTCGGACAACTGGATGAAAAGACAATGTCGAGTCCTGACTCCTGACACGATACAAAATGCTTTCAGAGAACGCTAAACATATAAAAATGACGAGTCAGCATACTTGTTTCAGTATGTAACGGTCACCTGATCGGGTCTCTGGTTTTTCTTTTTCATGCACAAATCGACATGTTCGGGATACTCGTGAGGAGAGAACACCTCCTGACACAGGAAGCACTTCTCCATCTCTGCTGATCTGGATAGAAAAAGATCGTTCAAATGTGCGTCGTGTCTTTTATGACACTACTATTGTACTTTATTCTCAACATGTTCATTGGATGTTTGCTGCACCTACTTGCCAGATCGCTCTGTTAAATTTCCTCTGGTCCTCTTCCGTCGGGCAACAACTACAATAAAATGAAATATTTCATTTTACAAATCTATCAACCTTTTCCACAAATATCTCGCAGACTATAGACTCTATGCACACTAGCTGCATATGCATTTCCATTAAAACCTTGGGGACTCCTTAACTGTTGATTACATTATATTTTAAAAAAAAACTTGTGCTGATAATTTACTCACCCCCGTGTCATCCAAGATGTCCATGTCTTTCTTTCTTCAGTCGAAAAGAAATTAAGGTTTTTGATGAAAACATTCCAGGATTTTCTCCATATAATGGACTTCAATGGGGTCCAAAAGACAGTTTGAGTGCAAACTGTTCAAAGGGCTTTAAACGACTCCAGACGATGAATAAGGGTCTTATCAAGCGAAACGATCGCTCATTTAATAAATAAATAACAAAGTTTAAGTTTTATAAGCTCAAATGCTCGCCTTGCTCTGTTCTGTGATGCGCGTTCGTGACTCTCCTGTTATCACAATGAACGAATCTTTTTTTGTGTTGGTTCATTCAACGAACGAAATGAACAAGTTGACTCTGGAAAAAGATTTGTTCATTTTGATGAACAGGAGAGTCACCTGAGGCGAGCATTTGAGCTTATAAAACTTAAATTTTGTTATTTATTTATTAAATGGCGCTCGTTTCGCTTGATAAGACCCTTATTCATCGTCTGGAATCGTTTAAAGCCCTTTGAACAGTTTGTAGTTTGCACTGAAACTGTCTTTTGGACCTTGAACTGTTTGGTCCCCATTAAAGTCCATTATATGGAGAAAAAACCTTAATTTCTTTTCGACTGAGGAAAGAAAGACATGGACATCTCGGATGACATGGGGGTGAGTAAATTATCAGCAAAAGTTTTTAAAAAAGTGAACTACTCTTTTAAGCCCTGCTATTGTATTTCATTTCCATCATTGAATCATTATTTTCCTGTTTATGGTATAAAGTGCTCTATAAAACTAAATATTATAATATTTAATATATTAAATATTATATATATATATATTAATATTATAATATTTATATATAATATTAATATAATTAAAATAAATACTAAATATTATGATAATTATTATTATTATTATGAAACAGGTGACTTGAACGGTTCCAGAGCTGACCTTGTGCTTGTTCTTCCTGTTGTTCTGCTTCGCCGTTACAGAAAGCGGCGTGCATCTCGATCTTGCTGAAGGGGAAGAGTTTCGAGCACATGGGACACTCCATCCTCTGACCGTGAGGAGGAGCCGCTTCATCTGGATCGTTCTCCTGCTCCATCATCTCATCCGCCGCTACAGACACACCTCCGCCCTCCTCCACCTCCATCACCTCGCTGACGCTGGCAGCTCGAGACTGGGGCTGTGAACCAGGGACGCTCTCTTACATCACAAGGTCTTCAAGCTCATTTCTTTTAGGACGGTGTGTGTGTTTGTTTCGTGCTACTGTACCTGTGCGGGACTGGTGATCATTAGCTCTGGTGAGCTGTTTCCAGTCATCTGAGTCTCTGTGTTCACATGCAACCGGATTATGTTCATGCCACAGGAAACACTTTCATCATCAACTGAAGAGCTGGAAACTTCAGTCACATACCTGGACAAACGATCTCATCCTCTTCACAGCCCTCGTGAGTCTGGGCCTCCTCCTCCTCCTCCTCCTCCTCCTCAGCTGGACTCGTTATTTGAGTTTCATCTGAAATATCCCACGGAGTTTTCTTCCTGTCAATGAGATGCGATAGGACAGCTTTAAAACACTTTATATGCAAATGTAATTTTACTCTGTTTAATAATGTTTTTACTCAACATTTGTGCAATTTTTGGAGTATTTTTGATATCTTTTACATTTTTATAAGTAATTAAATTTAAATAGGCTTTTTTGTTGTTGTAAAAAGCCTATTTAAATAAACATTTATTTAATTATTTATAAAAATGTAAAAGATATCAAAAATACTCCGAAAACTGCACAAATGTTGATAATAAAAGTGGTTACATTATTCATTAGACCATTCAATGCATTACAAGGCATAATTACTACATTAAAAATACTTTAATAATGCATTTAGAGAAAGGCTTTAAGTAAAATTTGATGCTGACTGTGTGCACATAAGCATGTCACCAAACTCTTTCAAAGGGTAAAACGTCTAACAATCTGTGGTGGAAATCTGAACACCAGAACTACTCGCTGTTTTACCTGAACGGTTTATTAGCAGCTGCAGTTCCAGGCTCCTCTTGGCTGAAGAAAGGGGCTTTATCCTGTTGAGAAGGCAAACTAGAGATCAGCAAGAGGTGCAGCAATATACTTTATGGTCAATAACTGGAGTGTCATCTTGTGGTTGATGTTGATATTACACAAAAAAAAAACCCTACATTTTTTAACAGTATATATATATATATATATATATATATATATTTACAAATTTAATTTTACTCTGTTTATTAATGTTTTTACTCAACATTTATTCAGTTTTTGGAGTATTTTTGATATCTTTTAAATTTCTATAAACAATTAAATATATATATATATATATATATATATATTTACAAAAGGATGGCATTGTATGTAAAATTCACTTTATAAAAGACCCAGATTTCTAATTTTCATTCATGGATAATTTTACATGGTTTAATGCAAGGTTTTGACAATTTTTGGGAAAATGCAGTTTTAAAATAAAAAATATCACTTTAACCACTAGATGGCCATAGACCTCCTCTATAAGCTATTTGCTATTTGACTAACCGAACTATATATCTTTTCAAGTTTTTCCAGTTGGATTCATATCTAAATATTATAAAATCACAATAAAAAAACCTGACAAAATTTAGCATTTTTTTTGCACTCACAAAAGTTTTTCAATAATTTTACATTATGATTAGAATCAAACCTGAACAAGATGTGACAGAGAGAAATGTTGGAGTCTTTAGAGTATATCATTTATTTCAAATATCTGTTTTTAATAAAATTCTATAATTTTAAATCAACGTTTCAGTTGCGAACTGTAAAAGAACAAAAATGAACTGTTATATTACATATTGAGAAAAAAAAACATAAAAATGCAATGAACTGAACGGCAATAACAAATGAGCAATAAAGCAGTAAAAAACTAAAATTGTTGTAATATATAAATGATTTCCTAAAAAACTGATTGGAATCTTTTTTTTGAACAAATAGTAACAATATGATGAATTTTGTAATATATATATATATATATTTTTTTTAATTATTATTATTTTATTTTGATAGATCTAGACAGTGTTAAGAGTCGTAGAAAGTTTCATAACATTTGGACAAAGAGAATTTTTTAAAAAAATTAAAAAATTAATTTGCGGGTTAAAAAGACCCCGAATATAAAGCCATGGATCCAAGCAGACATGCTGAAATTCTAGTTCTGACCACAAAAATCAGTTAATTTCACATGATAGATCTAAACAATCCCCCTGATTTAGAGATTACAGTCACACCAAAACTAGTATACTCACCTCCTGCTCATCTTTAGTCTCTGGAGAAGACACAACTACGTATGTTTCAGTCTGTCCTCCCTCAGCCTCCTCCTGTGACCCCGCCACAGACCCCTGCCTCTCTTCCTCCCTCTCTTCTTCTACTGCTTTTCTGTTCTTTTCTTCTTCATTGTCCTCCTCATCCTCCGACAGCTGAGGAGCCCTGTTGCGCTTCCATCTCCTCCCAGCGAACGGCCTCTCTGAGGAGCCGGGCAACACCTGAAAACAAACAAATGTGTACATCACTAAAACGCTATATATATATATATATAAAGGGTTTTGTTACCAGTGGCTTTGGCAGATCTAAAATGCATTCAGACACCTTTCTCACATTATCACAGTTGATTCGTTATAGTTTAGAAAACGGTAATACAATATATAACAAGAACTCAGTGGATATTTCAGTGGTTTTGGCCATCCTTCTGTTAGACGGTCTCACAAATGAATTATGTTGAATATCTGTCCGTTTTCAGCTGTTAAATTTAACTACACTCTTAGATAATACCAATTTAGCTCAAGCAATGCTTAATATTGTTCAGTCTGTGTGTAAAAAGGTCACATTAGCAATTAAAGAAAAAGCGTCTGAATAATTTTTGGTCTTAAATCTTTTATACATTTTACTGGTAATCCACTGTATGAAGAATTTGTGGGTGTAATATGTCACAGATTAATTTATTTTTCTATCCTCACGTACATAAATTAACTATAGTGTCCTGCACCCACTAGTAAAAGAATATAAAAAATGATGTCTGGTGTCTGAATCTGAATTTTTGGATTGACTGTATAGAATAAAAACTAAATGTGACATAAATAATATTCATGAGGAGAGCTGATTAGTTTCAGATTGTTCCTATAAGCCGTAATGTATGAAAGCTTGTTTCCACCCCGAAAAAAATAATTGCGACTTTTTTATAAGTCAGAATTGTGAGAAATAATTCACAATTAGCAATTCTGAGAAAAAAAAGTCGCAATTGTGAGAAATAAAGTCGCAATTATGAGATATAAAGTCGCAATTGTGAGAAATAAAGTCGCAATTCTGAGAAATAAAGTTGCAATTGTGAGAAATAAAGTCACAATTCTGAGAAATAAAGTCGCAATTGTGAGAAATAAAGTCGCAATTGTGAGAAATAAAGTCGCAATTCTAAGAAATAAAGTCGCAATTGTGAGAAATAAAGTCGCAATTGTGAGAAATAAAGTCGCAATTGTGAGAAAAAAAGTCGCAATTGTGAGAAATAAAGTCGCAATTGTGAGAAATAAAGTCGCAATTGTGAGAAATAAAGTCGCAATTGTGAGATATAAAGTCGCAACTCTGAGAAATAAAGTCGCAATTATGAGAAATAAAGTCACAATTCTGAGAAATAAAGTCGCAATTCTGAGAAATAAAGTCGCAATTATGAGAAATAAAGTTGCAATTATGAGAAATAAAGTCGCAACTGTGAGAAATAAAGTCGCAATTGTGAGAAATAAAGTCACAATTCTGAGAAATAAAGTCGCAATTATGAGAAATAAAGTCGCAATTGTGAGAAATAAAGTCGCAATTGTGAGAAATAAAGTCGCAATTATGAGAAATAAAGTCGCAATTGTGAGAAATAAAGTCGCAATTGTGAGAAATAAAGTCGCAATTATGAGAAATAAAGTCGCAATTGTGAGAAATAAAGTCGCAATTGTGAGAAAAAAAGTCGCAATTGTGAGAAATAAAGTTGCAATTATGAGAAATAAAGTCGCAATTGTGAGAAATAAAGTCGCAATTATGAGATATAAAGTCGCAATTGTGAGAAATAAAGTCGCAATTGTGAGAAATAAAGTCGCAATTGTGAGAAATAAAGTCGCAATTGTGAGAAATAAAGTTGCAATTGTGAGAAATAAAGTCGCAATTGTGAGAAATAAAGTCGCAATTGTGAGAAAAAAAGTCGCAATTCTGAGAAATAAAGTTGCAATTATGAGAAATAAAGTCGCAATTGTGAGATATAAAGTCGCAATTGTGAGAAATAAAGTCGCAATTGTGAGAAATAAAGTCGCAATTCTGAGAAATAAAGTTGCAATTGTGAGAAATAAAGTCGCAATTGTGAGAAATAAAGTCGCAATTGTGAGAAAAAAAGTTGCAATTCTGAGAAATAAAGTTGCAATTATGAGAAATAAAGTCGCAATTGTGAGAAATAAAGTCGCAATTATGAGATATAAAGTGGCAATTCTGAGAAATAAAGTTGCAATTATGAGATATAAAGTTGCAATTATGAGAAATAAAGTCGCAATTCTGAGAAATAAAGTCGCAATTATGAGAAATAAAGTCGCAATTCTGAGAAATAAAGTCGCAATTATGAGAAATGAAGTCATAATTCTGAGAAATAAAGTCGCAATTGCAAGAAAAAAAGATAGAATTGAGACTTTTTATCACACAATTCTGACTTTTTTTCCCTCACAATTGCAAGTTCATTCACAATCTCAAAATTCTGACATCTTTTCTCAGAATTGTGAGATATAAACTCGCAATTGCGAGTTATCAGGCCAATTCTAAGGGGGAAAAAGACTAACTTTTTCACCCTCAGAATACTTTATATCTCACAATTCTGACTTTATAACACAATTGCGACTTAATATCAATCAATTCTGACTTTTTATCTCACAATTCTGACTTTATTTATCATAATTGTGAGATATAAAGTCAGAATTGCATGTAAACTCGCAATTGTGAGAAAACAAAAGTCAGAATTGTGAGATAAAAAGTCGCAATAACCTGTTTTATTTTTCATTCTGAGGCGGAAACAAGCTTCCATAGTAATGTGATGTTTTGGGAGGTGATGTCACTCACGGGCTGCCCCCAATCTGCTTTGCGCAGCAGCTTCCGCTGGGCCTCCTTCAGGCTCTTCTCGTACACCTCCATCTGACACATGATCACACGCGTGTACTCGTCCGGGCTTTGCCCCATGGGACAGAAAGGCACTCCCCAGTAGTATGAGATTGTGCATGGTCCTTTTTTTCCCACTGAAGTATGTGTCGGTTTACGGTCAGAGGGTTGGGACTCAGCACCTTTGGACGCCCTCGAGTCCTCCTCCAGGACAGACCGGGACATTTGTGTGCCTTGTGTGGAAGAATCGAGGGTGATGGTCGCTGAAGATACACAGGACTGGTTTGGGGAAAGCCCAGTCCTGATTGAAATCTTCTTGACTGGGCTTGGAAAGACGACCTGCAGGGCAATGACATCATTTTTCAATTCTGGTTAAACGTGGATGTTTACATTAGCTATTGGAATATTTTTGTAATCATCAGCACCTATTATATTTTTTAGACATGCACTGATGCAAGTGAAAGTTCATTTATGTGGATATTTTGACTCAAAATTCTGAATACAGGCATATGGCAGATTCGAATTTCTAGACAACACAACATTAGCTGTATCTGGTTATGGCAATATTGTGTTTAAAAGAATCGGAAAACATTGAAATACTGATTAATGGAATAATATTATTGTGCATTAACATGCAGTTGTTTTAAATTTACAAACTGTTAACTTTAAAGTACAGTATCCTGCCTACCTCTTCTTCTTCATCATCATCCTCATCTGCTAAATGCAAGACCATGTGACTGGTAAATTCATTCCAAGACTGGTTTGGAGCTTTTTCTGCAGTTTAACACATAATGAAATGATTAGGGTGAACCCAAGTGTTCAGAATCACAGATATTGTGCACTACCGGTCAAAAGATTGGGGTCGGAAATAAATATATATATATATATATATATATATATATACACACACACACACACACACACACATATATACATATATATATATATATATATATATTTAGGGCTGTGCAAAAGTTAATTGCGATTAATCGCATCCAAAATAAAAGTCTGTGTTTACATAATATATTTGTGTGTGCTGTATATAATTATTTTGTATATATAAATACCTATGCATGCATGTATATATTTAAGAATTATTTGCGCTTAAATTCTGTATTTATAAATACATAATCTATATTATATAAATATAAATATTTTATATATGAATAACACATTTTCTTAAATATATACATGCATGTGTGTGTATTTATATATACAAAATAATTATATACAGCACACACAGATATATTATGTAAACACAGACTTTTATTTTGGATGCGATTAATCGCAATTAATTTTTGCACAGCCCTAAATATATATATATATATATATATATATATATTTACGTTTTTGAAAGAAGTCTCTTGTCAGACTTCTTACACGTTTTTGTAGGATTCATTGGTGAATAGCAAGTTTAAAAGAACAGCAATTATTTTTTTTACATTATACATGTCTTTACTACGGAGGCGTATTGCATTCACTTGAAGAAAAAAAATCTACTCTGTTTTTCTGAATTAACGAGTTAATTTTTCATGAGATAAAAAGTTTTTGCTCTGTTTTTCTGAATTAATGAGTTAATTTTTCATGAGAACATTTTTTTGGCTGTTTTTCTGAATTAACGAGTTAATTCAGAAAAACAGAGTAAAATATTTTTTTCTCATCAAAAATTAACTCGTTAATTCAGAAAAACAGAGCAAAAACTTTTTTCTCATGAAAAATTAACTCATTAATTCAGAAAAAACAGAGTAAAATATTTTTTTCTCATCAAAAATTAACTCATTAATTCAGAAAAACAGAGCAAAAATTTTTTCTCATGAAAAATTAACTCATTAATTCAGAAAAACAGAGTAAATTTTTTTTCTTCAAGTGAATGCAATACTTTACAGTGACTCTGTATAAAAGTATTAACAGTACATATAAACATATATTTAAAAAGGCTGAATAGTTGGCCTGGCTGAATCAACATTTGTATGGAACCATCGCACAGAGAACCCAATAACTCAACAGGCCCTGTCGGCAGGAACCAAACTCACTCTGTGTGGTGACCAATACTACAAAACACAGCTCAGTCTTGCAGCAACAGTGGGTCGACCACAACTGCCTTACTTCTATACTCAACACTAAGCATTTCCTTTGACATGACTACACATCCCCAAAGTACCACTTAGAAATGAAGTGAACTCTTGGTTCTAGGCTCATGTCTCAGAGTAAATAGAGCAAACATTGCCAGTAGAGAGGTGGAGTGTAAGAAACGACATACCAGTGTCAGATTTTACATTCTCACCCTGAGTGGTTTGATCCTCCACTTGCTTTTGGTCAGGATTGTTCTGTTAAAATAATACAATAGAGTTAGAACACAAATAGAGATGATAGATAGAGTCAGGGATGTTGTAATCCCAATCACATTTTTATTTATCCTATACAGAACAAGAATGAGTAACATACGTAGAATTTTACAGATACTAACGGACCGGTTTCCACTGATTTTTACACATAAGACCTTCTTGGGTAGAATTGTGTTATTTTAAGTAAAATCTTTAAATAAAATGATTAGAACATGCATTACAGCGGCCTATTTGATACCATGACTGATAACTGTACACACATTTAATCTGAAGAACACACACTATTGTTTAAATGGACTTTTCAAGTCTCTTATGCTCACCAATACTGCATTTATTTGATCAAAATACAGTAAAAACAGTATGATTCTCAATTTTTCTTACAATTTAGAAACCACTTTTCATTTCAAAGTTCAAACATAATCATAATTTATTCGTGTGATGGTGAAGCAACGTTTTTTTGCATCATTACTCTTCAGTGTCACGTGATCCTTCCATCATTGTGGTTAATATGTTGATTTGGTGCTTAAAACTGTCACCGTCCTGGTACCGGGACGCCTTTACTTCACTATATTTCTATTAAATCCTAATTTAATTATGACAAATTATATATCGTTGGAAAGGTCTAAGACTTAAATAGATATTGTACCCCTGTTTTGTGTTCCAAATTATGTAGGAAGAGTAATTGATTAATTTATGACAAGAGTGCACCTCAAAAAAATCTTTTGACCTTTGTCACAAAAAGTCGATGATGCACCCACTTTTAATCATTGAAACTTCTGTTTTTATGCTAAAAGTTCACTATAAAATATAATCTAGTATTTTTCAATAAAAAATAAAAAATTATAGTGTAATATCATCCTCTAAAAATGATAATATTTATATTTATTATCCTCTAAAATATAATATAATTTTTTATCGCCTTTTTTATGACATCACATATTTTAGTAGTTATCATAAATTAGGTATGATTTGAAAGCTTATAAACTCAGAATTCATCCTGTGAAAACTGTTTTATAATTGAACGTTGCGTTACCATAGAAACGGTACTTATTTTATCAGGCTCCACCCCTTTTGGGCATCATTAGATTTCATAATTTATGATCAAAACAGATATTGTCAGAAAGGTTTGAGTCTCAAGGTTCCAAATTTTGTGACAGAATTGATATTTGGACAGAAATGTATTAAGAATGCATACAACTAAATTCAATAGAATTCAATGGCACCCGGTGGCTATTTTTGGTACTACGCCTAAACAAAATCTCATGGGAACTTCAATTTTTGTGATTAAGAAACATTTTTTAGTGTTAATGTTAAAAAAAAACCGCGATGCATTTTCTTTGAAATAGAAAAGTTGTGTAACATTATTAAGTCTTAACTCACTTTTGATCCGTGCTAAATCTTTCAAACGACAACACAATCGTAGTAATCAGTAAACAGTACTGTTTTATTTTAAGCTGTCCTACTTACACTCGTTTCAGTGATGTCTTCATTGCTGTTTTCAGGCACACATTTGGGGCTTGATATCTGGGATCTTCTAGAAGGTGAAAGGCACGTATCTGGATCTGTGCTCAAACCTTGGCTTAGCTGTGTTGCTAAAGGAGTATCTTCATCAGGTATTTGAGTATCGTCTTCCTCCCCGTTGGCATCTCGATGGCCATCTTTGTCCTCTGGCAGATGGCTTGTTGGTTTGAAGCGATCCTGAGTGGAGACAGGCCGTTTGGAAACAGGCGAGTCCTTCTGTGGGGACAGAAACCTGTCGGCGCAGGTGTCCTCGGGGTGAAAGTTCATTGGGCCTGCGCTCCCCGGGATGAGTTCCTGACTCAGTTTCTCCACACATACTACAGAATGGCGAATCAAGCTGCGATGCAGGGGGAAGACAGGGGACATCTGGGACTCTGAGCGAGACTTGAAGAGCTCATCCTCCGGAGTGTCGCTGATGACTGTCAGTTTATCTGAGGTTTTGTCCTGGGAATATGCATCAAACATGTGGGAAACAAAGGGAAGGTTCATACCTTTATAATTAACCCTAAAACTGTATTCTGGACAAATGTGGGCAAAATAGTTTTCAAAAATACTTCCCTTGATCTGAGCGGTACAAAACTTGGCTACTTTCCCCAAGTTTGCCTCCTGAACACACACAATATTTTTTGACTCAATTCTACAATGTTAAGTGGGTGAAAAAAACCCTCCTTAATCTTGTATTTTGGTCAAAAATGGGCACCCATAGAAATGAAATGGGAAAAACTGTAATGTAGAGCATTCTAAAATAAGCCAAAATAAGTTCTTCAAGCTAAAACCTAAAGATGAAGTGACTTTGGTGTCTTATTTTGGCTTATTTTAGAATGCTCTAAATTACAGTTTTTCCCATTCATTTCATTTCTGCCCATTTTTGACCCAAATACAAGATTAAGGAGTTTGTTTTTCAACCACTTAACACTGTAGAATTGAGTCAAAAAAATATTGTATTTGTTCAGGAAGCAAACTTAGGAAAAGTAGCCAAGTTTTGTACCGCTCAGATCAAGGGAAGTATTTTTGAAAACTACTTTGCCCACATTTGTCCAGAATACAGGACAAATCTTCTGGTTTTAGCTTGAATAACTTATTTTAATATCATTCCAATAAGTTCTTGCCTCGTTAATCAACATAAACAAATCTTTTTTCATGTCATTTGGTTCATTCAACGAACGAAACGAACAAATTGACTCAGAAAAAGATTCATTCATTTTGACGAACGAGTTCAAACAGGAGAGTCACGAACGAGCATTTGAGCTTATAAAACTTAAACTTTGTTATTTATTTATTAAATGAGCGATCGTTTCGCTTGATAAGACATTTATTAATCGTCTGGAATCGTTTAAAGCCCTTTGAACAGTTTGCACTGAAACTGTCTTTTGGTCCCCATTGAAGTCCATTATATGGAGAAAATCCTGGAATGTTTTCATCAAAAACCTTAATTTCTTTTCGACTGAAGAAAGAAACACATGGACATCTTGGATGACACGGGGTGAGTAAATTATCAGCAAAAGTTTTTTCAGAAGTGAACTACTCCTTTAAGATCATTTTGACAATTTAGAGGCCTTGGAAATGTCTGTATCAAATATGATACGGTAGGCTTTAGGGTTATGAACAATATATGTGACGTGATTTCATGAAAACTAACCTGAGAGGTCGCAGGAGTCTTGGAGAGCTGCATTGAACTCCTCGAGGAGGTCGTCTGTGACAGATCAGGCATTTCTAGCAGCGGACTAGTGTTTTCCCTCTCAGTCTCGCTGTGTGTCGGATCTGGTCTGGGGTAAGACAGCTTTCGTCTCAAGTGCAATACTGTGTTTGCTACATCCTGCTGCGGTTGCCCTGAAGAGCTGGCGGCTTCATCCTGACCCTGCGAGTCGTTTACAGCGCTCTCCTGCAGAAACACATGCAGCATTTTTGATTAAAGCCATTCTGCTCTTTTGGTATATGAGACTTGTGTGACTTAAGGCTGGAAATCCACGACACATTTGCACAGATTTTGGTCAGACCGAAGCGCCCGCGGCCTTAGATCACTCGGATGTGACTGTGGTTACAAGAGGTAAAACGATATAAATACTGTTCGTTTCCTCACACAAACCGCTTGTTTCGTGTCTTAGGACATCAATGTGTTCTTACATTTACGAGTCATTAAATCATGTTTAATTTGGACTTCTCTGTGCTGCTCTTTGAGGTGGTGACTAGAGCCAGACCGATATATCGGTACGTCGATATTAGGCATTTTCCAAACTATCGGTATCGGCAGTTATAATGGCCGATAAATTAATATTTAAAAAATAAATTAAAAACGTACGAAAAACACTTGAACCATGTCATGAGTGTGGAGTTGTATAGTTTGTCCACCAGAGGGCACTCTACACCATTCCTGTTGGCAAGCTAAACACTCATTAGACTAGCTAACCATAAAGCTAATGCCAATATCATCAGTCTGTTCTGTTGTGACAATAAAAGAAACAAATTTCTTTTAAAATGCATTATCATATTACATATTATTTTAGTTAAAACTCATAAATGACTACAAATAACTGATGTTAGGGAAATCTGTTAATGTGTTTTGTTGCGCGTTTCTGAAAATAAAAAAATATCGGCCCATATATCTGAATATCGAATTTTAAAACCAAAAAA